AATCGTTATTAATAAGAATTTTGAATATAATTCATACTTTAAAAACAAGCTAAAACGTGCTTACCTCGATCGATGTTGAATTTCCGTCTTCACTTTTTCCACGGCATATTTAGGATATGAAGAAAATCAAATGTTTAATGTAGCAGATCTTTTGTCATCTGTCGAGCTGTTTTTTTGTATTTTTTGATAATAAGAAGAGTAACAACAGATGATGATGGTTTATGCAATAGACTCCACGTAGTCGCTCTTCGTCTATGGTAGTGCGGCTTTTTCTTCGCAAAAGGTGTGAAATTTCCCGCCATTTTCTCCAGCTCTACCAAAACAAATGATCAAACGCGACCTTAACGCAACCTTTCCCTAGGGCTTCTCGGTTGCCCTGCCTTTTTCTGTCAACACCCTGCACTACTGACGTCAGTTTACTGGATATGGCAAACGTTTAACCTTAAATTGCATTCTTTCTAGTCCCTACAGAAATACAGGCACGAGGAGAAAGTGCCGAGCGTGCTTATCAAAGCGCTCTTAGAGATGGAGCTGTTAATGTTTACCGTAGTCGAGTATTGCTGATTGGTCAGGATCGGGCAGGGAAAACCAGTTTGAAGAAATCTTTGATTGGTCTTCCGTTTAATCCAATCGAAGAAAGTACTGAGGGAATCGAAGTTGATCCTTCAGTATTTCAAGTGGATATCGATGAAGTTAAGAATTGGCAACCCATTGATGAGAGTAATCAAGGGCTGTTGGGATGTTCTAAAGACGTGGCAAAGGTAGTAGTGGAAAAGCTGTATAATCCGGTTAGCCGTAAGTTTGTTCAGGAGAAGAACGAAGGTGAAGAAAAGCATGCAAGTGACCTCCAAAATGATGACAGCGAGAATGGGGAAGAGGTTGGTGATACTGATGGTGAAAAGAAAGGAGATTCATGTGTAAAGCAGGTTTGAATCATCTGGTTAAATACACATCTTAAGTTCTATCGGAACTTGGGGCGCTTTCCATTTGTCAGAAATAACCGGCTAGACCATTCCCGTTTTACGTAGTAATGAGAATTTCACTTTTAATCAAAATTATCCCAGCATATCTGTGAAATCCTAAATACTATGCACGAAGGAAAAGGTTTTTCAGCAAAAACTCTTGGAAAAAGGCTATTTCATTGTCAAAATGACTTTTCCAGCCATGGTCCGACCGGCCACTTAACTGGCCTTCGGAAAGCGCCGTTACAAGGCAGATTATATAATAAATACAGTATCTACACAACTTAGCTTCTTAGCGTGCGCGTAGACATGCCCTATCTCCATTGTTTGACGCGGAAAAGTAAATAGGAGACGTTTACGTGTAGGCTTCTTCTGCGTAGCTCAAAAGTTGTCTTTTATAATACAAGAAATGCCATGAATTACAGATCTCAATTTTCTAGAACCAATTTTAGGAAATTTACCATAGCATATGAAGGCCCAAAGTTTTGGATACCCTCCCTGCTGAACTCAAAGAATCTGTCGTAAATTAGTTCCATATTGTGTTGATTAATAATTTCTTTTGTAGCGTAGTTTTTTTCTCTTTTCCTGCTGAATTTTTAGACTACTTACTAGAATGTTTATTTTTCTTAGAACTATAAATTTTACTCTAAATTGATTTAGTATTGTTTATTTATAATTATACCTCTTAACCTCATTTCTTATTCTTAGCTTATTCTTGCCATCTATGTATACTTTTTAACTTTGAATTTGTTTGTAAATGGGTAGCCTGAATGTAATAAGTCCCATGGCTTTTTATCCGAGCTGCCCTGCCACTTTTGGTGGTAATCTGATCAATAAATTATTATCAAATTATTAAATTTCTTTTAACATTTAAAATCCTCGACGGAAGAGTTTGTCATGTGTTAGGTATACAGACCATTTCCACAATCAACAATGGTACCGTAAGGTTTAATAACAGAGTGTCACGGTTCTAGGATTTGAAACCATAGCTATTCAACGCGAAGCCTGGTAAAAACGACAACAAAGAAAGGAAGGTCTAAAAAGAATTTTCAGAAACATTTTTTACACTTCTTGTCAGTCTCGAAGACAAATTTCCTAACTAATGGGGCTTTGCGCGGGAACTTTATTAATACCTCCTCGCTTCAGGCCGACAGCGTGCACTTAATCAAAGACGTTCACTGGAATTCACCTGTGGAAAAAAATTAAAAACAATAACAACAACATTTTCGGCGGGGAGCGTTATTCAGGGATAGTATTGCCCACAACGAAATCCTGGTCTAGCTATTTTACGGGCTGTTGCAATGCAGAAGCGAATATACAGTTGGCATATTCTTAGACTTATCAAAAGCATTTGATACTTTAGACCATCAAATACTCTTGTCTAAGCTTGAGCATTATGGGATTCATGGGCTAGCACTTAGCTGGTTGAAAAGCTATTTGTCAAATCGCGTGCAGTTCGTCCAGTACAAAGAGACTTGTTCTATTAGGCTGACTCTGAGCTGTGGAGTCCCTCAAGGTTCTATATTAGGACCATTATTGTTTGTTTTGTATATCAATGACCTCCCTTGTGCTACTCGTCTTGCTGAAACTATGCTTTTTGCAGATGATACTAGTGTGTTTTATTCTAATCCCGATTTAAATTGTGCTATTTCTGCCGTAAATAATGATTTATCTCAAATTGATCTTTTTATGAAAGCAAATAAGCTCTCTGTTAACATAACGAAAACTAATTATATCATTTTTGCAGCAAGGCAAAAACCAGTCGGCTTCCCAATAAATCCTGTCTTGTACGATGAGGTTTTATTAAAACAAGTAAAGGTAGTTAAATTTTTAGGGGTTTTTATCGACGAGCATCTAACGTGGAAGCCGCATATTACTTATATATGTAAGAAAATTTCAAAATCTATTGGCGTCATGTTTAGGTCTCGTTTCTTTCTTTCTGAAACAACAAAAAAAAGTCTCTTTATTATACCTTAATTTATCCTTATTTAACATATTGTACCACAGTTTGGTCCTCCACTTATGTAACAAACCTTAATAGAATTTTTCTTCTACAAAAGCGAGCAGTACGAATTATTACAAATGCAGATTTTCGCGCGCACTCTGAACCATTATTTTTCCGTTTAAAGATTTTGGACATATACAACATTAATTCATTCTATACTGCACAATTTATGTTTTCATATTATCATCAATTACTGCCACCGCTTTTTTTCGAACCTTTTTGTTACTAGTAGCAATATTCATAATTATAATACTAGAAGTTCCTCGCATTTCCGTTCTCATGCCTGCCGAACTAACACCAAACAATTTTCTATTTTGTTCCAAGGCCCTAAAATTTGGAATTCTTTACCAAACTCAGTCACTTCGATTTTTACATTGCAATCGTTTAAAACGAAAGTTTTTGATTTTCTACTATATCGATAATGCGTCTTGTACTGTCCGTTGTTGTGTGTTGTTATAGTTCTATTGCTTAATATTATTGTAACGAGGGGGCCTCCTCGTACAAGCCTTGTGGTTTTCTGAGGTCCCCTCGCCACATCTTTGTATAATGTAATGCTTGTGTAATCTTTATTGTGGGAAAATAATAAATAAATAAATAAATAAATAAATAGAAAAGAAGAGAAAAATCATTTTGACTTGCGTTTGTCTTTGCAATCTATATTTAGAACTCGTGATTTCAAAGCTGAGGCCTCCATGTTTGAGCTTATTAAGCATTTCCTATTCTCTGCTTATGGCTGGTAACAATTAATTTCTTTGTCCATACACTTTTGCAGTCATCTGGGCCTGATCATGAGTTGACGATTGATACTACTTCACCTCCAGACGATATCAGGGAGCATGCTGTTGATTTAATAATAAAAAGTAAAAAAGGTGAAGGTACTCAAGAGGAATCTGCTGTCAGTATTGAACTGTGGGATTTTGCTGGACAGGACCTGTATTATGCATCTCATCCTGTATTTTTAACATCACGTGCGATATATGTTTTGGTGTGCAACCTCAGCAAGTCACTGCATGACACTGCCCAACCCTGTGTGAAACAAGGCAAACACGATGTTTTCCTTGACAACCCAAATGGCGAAACAAACTTGGAGAATCTGCTATCTTGGCTGTCCACAGTGCATAGTATCACACAAATGAGAGGAGAAACCTGTAACGATGCAGAAGGAGAGCTGCCTCATCTTCGCCCCCCTGTGATCATTGTAGGCACACATGCAGACAAACCATTTGAAGACATTGCAACAATGAAATCAGAAATACGGAGGGCAATTGCTGGTAAGGACTATGAAGGACACGTGGTGCGGCATATCTTCAGCATTGATAACACTGCAAACGTTCCTCAAAGTAAGTTTAAAAAATTTTTCGGGCGTGGCCGGGCAGGTAATTTATGACTGAATTTCCTATTAATCGTGCAATTTTTTTTGGCTTAACACTTGAAATGGTCTTATTATTCCTGTCGAGCTTAGAAATAACAGTCTTAACTTATCAGCAATGCCAATATTCTGGTTTTTTGAAGGGCAAGACAAAAACGTTGACAAAATTGAAGCTCTGCGGGCCGAAATCATGGAAGTGTTAAAACACGAGCCCTTCATGGGGGAGAGGATACCTGTAAGGTAAATAATTTTCATATGACAAGATGATGCTATTTTTTAGCATTTTAAGCTCAGAAATTGTGAAGACATTGAAATATCAGCGCCTATTTCAAGGCCTTGGTTTCAGATCAAGGGTATGGCTTCTGACTGGTTATCTCAACTGGTTGGGCATCAGAATTCAGCCTATGGTTGAGCTTGGATTCGATTCCTTGTTAGACCACAATGGGGTCTCAATGTAACTAAGGATTATGTGCTGCATTTGTTTCACGCCTGTGAATGGCTAGATCCTTCTAGGTTGAAGACGAAAAACCGTAGGCTCAATGTCACCGTAATTTTAGCTGTTGTCTTACTTAGGTGTGTGCGTGCCGCGAAAAGACCGAACAGCTAGGGAAGTGACAGATTTCAGGCGGTGAGCACAACCAGTGTGCTGTCTTGGTACTAGGTGGCTAATCTGCAGCAAAAAATAACGGCTGCCTATAAACGAATGTATATGCTAAAATTCAGTTGTGATTCTTAGTTGAAATAACGAGGTAAATTAAGAATTGAACTTTGTTGTACTATTCTCGCTAACGTTCGTCTAAAAAAGTGAAACTTTACACCATAAAAATACTTCATCGGTCTAAATAGTGGTCCTAAAGACAAAGTAGACTACTGGCATGAATATGATCGTTAAACCACACAAGTGCACGGTGTAAATACATGATACTTACTCGCGCACCACTATGCAGAAAATAATTTCAAAACTATTCAGTGAAAGTACTCAAGAAATTGAGATGCTGTAAAAGGTAAGAAGTAAACAACTTCCTCAAGCATCAGGTCTTGTGTAATACCCCAGTCTTCAGTTATACTTCATCAAAACGTTCTGTGCAGTTTAAAATTTACCATTTTGGAGCTGCCGTATTCGTGTTTCTTTTAAGTAATATGGAACCAATATGATGAATTGTCTGGAATTTATTGTTGAGTAGCTATTTAATTCTTTGACTCTTTCTTTTAACGGATACAAAAACAATTCTCCTAATACTAGAAATGTTCAAAATCAAAGTTTAATCGATTTTTTCACATGAGTAACGGCAATTGTGGAAGTCCGGAAAATGTTGCGATAAAATCTCAAAAACTGAATTGGAATTGTTGGCCGAAATCTTTAAAGCGATGGTTGACGATCTTTCGCCCACAATCCATACTTTAACTATCGGTCTTATTTTGGGAAATCGGTTGATTAATTTGTTACTCAGTCAACAGTGTTTCGTCAATGTTTTATGGTAAGACGGGGTGCTTTCTTGTTCGAGTACCCTGCGAGCAGAGGTTTCTTTCTGGCTTGACTGTTAACATTTATGAATTCATTCACGTGGCTTCAGTTGTCAGTCTTGGCTTCTCGCACGAAACGCTCTACTCGTCCCTCGCCCTTACTAGATCTTACCAGAAACCTGCTGTCAATTTGTTAAAAGGTAGTATTACAAGTGTAATTTACAAGTGTAGCTATTGTTTTTAGAAACTATAACAATGGGCACACTGCTAATTTACACTACTAAAAGTTTTGTTTAATTGGCTCCTGCAGTGAAAACTTTGTTGTGTGACCTGTGCATCACTTGTTAATCTGTGTTTGCCCTGACATTCTCTTGTGTTTACTGTCAAGTTTTTCGTTCTTTGATATACACTCCCCCCAAATGCACACTTTTTTAAAGCGTCTTGTTTGACACAAAAACAGATCATTTGTCTGACAGAAACCAATCTTAGTACTAAAGAAACCTTAAATGTGACAATAATTACAAGTTTAAAATGTTGTAAAGTTTAGTTTTGGTTTTGCATTTGATCGCGTGCCATATCAACACACGTGCATAAAATAAATTGTGTAGGCTGAAGTAAAATGTTCATGAAAATTTTGTTAGTAGGAAAAAATAAATACGTCATTTGACGGCTAGGTCGGTCCGTATAGGAAAAACTGTGCCCTCAGTAGTCAAGAACTCGGGTACAGTTTTCTCCTATACGGACCTCCCGGTAGGCAAATAACATATATTTACTTTCTCACTGAAAAGCTATGTCGTAAATTTTTATACGTAAATGAGTTTTAGCCAATCAGACAAGCAAACGATGTTTTCCACACTTGAAAAATGATACGTCTAATCAGCGAACGATTTTTGTTCACATGATACGTCCAATAAAAGGCCACAGCGATGCATGAGTTTCTCGCCAATTGTCCCGCCTTTTGTATGAGCTTCCAGCGATCTCGCTTCGCGAGTTGCTTCATAGTCATTCAACGAGAAGATTTGTTGAGTCCAGGCACGACAGTTTTTCTCGTAGAAAAGTGAGCAACAATTCGGAAATTGGAATAGAATAGCTTCGTACATTCCATTGTCACTGAAGAAAATTTTATAGAGCTTACAAAACAACAGTAGAAGGGAAAAAAGCAAGTAAGCTTGAGTTGCGACTTGCAGTTTTCGTAGGAGCTATTTAGTCTGACTGTTTAAGCTTTTTTAAACCGGCCATTTCACTCATGACAAATTCACTCACTTTCTCCCGCCAGTTGTAAATTCGAAACAAGAAGGGAAGACTTCTTGTAATTACTGTATTACCTCATATCCTTAGCTTATCCTCGTTATAAATTTTACTAACAGTTCTCGAAAGGCGACGATGTTTTCTTTCATGATGTTATTTTGAGATGTGTAGCGGCATATCCAGTCATTTTAGCACTTTGGAAACATATAAAATAGAAAGCTTTGAGAATGAGAAATAGCTCAGTATGTGGTAGAATAAACACAATACCACATGGTAAGTGCTTTGTACGGTATTTACTCACTCGTTTTTGTAACAGAAATCTCAGTCGTTCGCTGCGCTCATTCGTTCGATTTTTGATACGTCAACAACTCGTGCGTTAAAACCGTACGCGTGCACTTTGTATGAAGTATTTCAGTTATTTGGAGATGTTCACCCTCTTGGTTTCGAATATGTGTCTGAAGCTGTACATCTGGTGAGTTGCAGTACCCCTCAGCACGACTACTTGTAATATATAAATTTAACTAAGGCTAAAGGCGAAGCTCCCGTTTATAAATTTGTAATCAACTTCAAACAGTGAATTTGTAACCACTGGAAAGAAATCCTCTTGGAGTTAAACCTGCGATCAGTTGAAAACTAGTAACTTGTCAGAGAAGATATTAAAAAACACGTTACCTAGATGGGTCGACACCTGATATAGCAGATCGCCCGCGATACAGACATGCGATACTAGTCAGCGGATAAGCTGTTTTGACAGCTGTCAATTGACCACAATATGAATGTGCAATATCAGGTTGCATGCCTCCACACTAGCTAGAAAGTGTGAAATTTCACTCTGGTTTCCTTGTGGTGTGGACGGACGGACGTACATTCACGTAAATACCAAAATTTCTCGTGTGGATAGATAACCACGTTTTCTTAGCTTTGGGGCTCCGCTCTCGTGGGAGCTTGGAGCTCCTCTATTAAAGTTATGCTGATACATTTATTTTTACTTTTACAAACCAGGTGGCTCAATTTTGAGAAGATCATCAGTGCTTTGCTATCTAAGGAAGTTTATCATTTGAATATAAAGGACCTTCAAGCCTATGCCAAGGATATCTGCTTCATTGATGACGAGGAAGAATTTTCCACCATGGTGAATTTCTATCACGACCTGGGAATTATTATTGAGCATTGCAGCACAGTCATTCTGAGTGCCAAGTGGCTGATAGACCTATTGAGGCAGCTGATCACTATTCCACCCTACAGAAAAAAGGTAGGAAGAACATTACGCACTTGTTTTTGAAGTGTTGAAAAGGCCTTTTCCTTCATATTGGTCTCCAATTTTGTAATCTCTCTTCATTTTACTATTTCTCAGGACCGCAAGGTTGCCAAACACTGGAAAGAAGTTGAAGAAAGCGGTGTCCTCAGCATGAAGCTGATTGATCATGTCTTTTGCAAATTTCTTCTGAAGGGCGTTGTCAGGGGTGACATTCTGGGTTTGATGGAAAAATTTGGTTTGATTGCAAAGTTCGCACTTTCCAAAACTGATGAAAAGTTTTTTGTACCTTCTCTTCTGAAAGTACCACCTGATTCCATTTGTGCCATGGTACCTTCAAGCTCAGACCCCTGTCCTCTTTATGCCTACTTTATCACTGGTTTTGTCCCCCATGGTCTGTTCTCACAGCTTGTTTCTCGACTTGTCCGTTGGTGTTCTGAGGCTGGTCCAATTCAGCCCCCTACCCTGTACCGAAATGGAGCATGGTTCGTCATTGGGAGGCAAACTGTCCATGATTTAGTTGTTTTCTGCAAGAAACAGTACATAAAGTTTTTCGTCAAACAAAGATCCCAAGATCAGCAGGTCTCAGGGGATAAAGGAAGTGAAGTAGCAATTCAGGTGCGTGAGTTTGTGGAGGCAACACTACAAGCTTTGTCACGTGATCTCCTCTATCTACGTGGAATGCAGTACCAGATTTGCGTCGCCTGCCCATATTGTCAGCTGGAAAAGTGCAGCGGTCATAAACAGCTAGCATGTACACATGTTGACTGTCATCATCTCCTTGAGATAAGACAAGGTGACCCACTGATTTGCAAAAAGAAGCCTTCAAACAAAGTACTAACAGTTAAAGGTCTAGAAAAGTGGTTTTCACAGATAACAAGCGAGGTATTAATAATACAAATCTGTCCTGTCTGCATTGAATTAAACTTAAAAGTAGCCTAACCTAGAAGGATGATTATATTTCGAAGGTTAAAGACAATCTTTGCATGTACATTATCAGTTTATAGGACGATGTCTAATGTAGTGTGACTTCTCCTGTAATAGAGTTCTTTGTAGCGGGAGGGAAATGGAAAACAGGGAATTAAGGCAATACTTGTAGATGCAGTCAATTTGCCAAAAATTGATACTTTCGACTAAGTTGAAAGGTTCACGCCCTTGGTCACTTTGCTATGATAAAGGGCTAGCGTTAAAGATTAGCCTTTAACTCTTGTTCTAGTTGTTGGCTTTATCAACGCGGCATACTTAAGCTATGCATCACTTCGGCGTCAAAGCCTTCTGTCACTGTTGCCATGTATTGCTAACAGCTTTCACATGTATGAGAGGCTACTTACAGTAGTTGTTGGCCAGCAGGTGTTGGAGTGGTTATCACTTCTTTCGGAGATTATCATGTTTTGCAATAATTGGGCCAAATTTTAATGGTAGTCACCCTATACTAGATTTAAAAGTGCTATTTTAAAATATTGTATCGCGGTTTCCTCTGCAGAAACTGTATCCTCTATCCTCGTCTGTTACTGCTCAAAGGTATCTACAGGGTTCTAATTTGAAGGTTACCCTCTTGGCGAATGAATGGGGGTCGTCTAAGGGTGGCTTGTCAACGATAAACCGAACACTTGCCATACATTTGGCAAAACACGCAAACGTCGAGGTCACTATTCTTGTACCTGAATTTGAGTGCGGTGAAGATGACAAGAGAGATGCCAAGGGTCATAACATTGCCATTATGGAAGCACATCGTCGCCCTGGCTTTAGTGATCCTCTTGATTGGTTGTGCTTTCCACCAAGAGACCGTGACATTCAGGTCGTGATTGGTCATGGTGCAAAGCTTGGTAAACAAGCTCAAATCATCCAAGACTCTCACTGCTGCAAGTGGTTGCAGGTAGTACACACCGAACCTGAAGAGCTAGCAATGTACAAGAACTATCCTGGCGCAATTACCAAGGGAGAAGGAAAGAACAGAGCTGAAGTTGAGCTGTGCCAACTTGCAGATCTCGTTGTAACAGTTGGGCCCAAGTTGACAGAAGCATTCTCGTCCTACTTGCGTTCATCTCATCAAGATGTCTTCCAGCTGATGCCAGGTACCTTTACAGAGTTTTCAGATGTTGAGCATGCTACTACGCGAGCGAGTGCGAAGTTCAAGGTGTTAACCTTTGGCCGTGGTGATTTTGAAGACTTCACTCTCAAAGGATACGACATTGCCGCTCAAGCAATAGTTGAATTGAAGGACAGTTCCTACCGTCTGATTTTTGTTGGTGCACCCGATGGAAAGCAGGATGAAGTCGCGGAAATCTTATGCCAGACGGGCATTTCAAGAAACCAGTTGTTTGTCAGATCATTCTTGAAAGACAAGCAAAGATTGGAAGAGTTGTTTTGTGAAGTGGACGTTGCCATCATGCCCTCAAGAACTGAGGGATTTGGCTTGACAGCACTGGAAGCCATGTCGGCTGGTCTTCCCATTCTGGTAAGTGGAAACTCCGGATTTGGAGAAGCACTGCGTTGTCTTCCAATGGGTATGTCATTTGTGATTGATTCGGATGACCCCAAGGAATGGGCAAAGGCAATAGCAGCTATCCGTCAAAAATCTAGGGAACAGCGGCTTGAGGAAATCCAAAAACTCCGAAGAAGTTATGAAGAGAGATTCAGTTGGGAGAGACAGTGCCAATCCCTTGTTGACACGATGTGGAAGATGGTTTATGGTAAGAAATCAAATTCTTACCCAAAGTAAAGTAACGATAATTTAAATGAGCAAATTGAGGATGAGGCTGAGTATGATGTGAAAAATTTAGTAGATCGTGGAGGATGCTGGCCGATGTGGAGAACAACCCACGAGATCTGCATAATTTTGCACATCATTTGAAATCCCAATCTAATTATTGTTTTATTATCCATTCAAAATAGTTCATACTTGAAAAACATGCCCACCTCGATCGATGTTAAGCTTCTGTCTTCGACTTCGTCCTAGGGCCTCTCAATTGCCGTCCCCTTTTCTGGCGATATCTCATACTATTGACGTTATTTTACTAAATATCGCAAACGTCTTCCAAATTTGATCCGCACCAGCTGGTTTTAAAGAAATAGCCGTGGGATTTGAGTCATTCTCATTTTGTTCTGTTCAAGAGAGAGAGAGAGTTAGTTCAACTCCCACAGGATTGGTTTGGAACACCAACATGGCCGCCGTTTCGTTGTTTAGGAACACTAGTATGACCGACATGACGTCATGTGAAAACGCTATATTAAACTGACGTGAAATAACCTTTCGCATTTTGGGTTTTTCCTCTCTATCATTTGCAGGTGAACTGGTTTTCCTTGCACTTCAAAAAATCAAGCTGGAAGCGCGCAGAGAGGCCAGCAAAACTGAGCTGTCGTTGAATTTAAAGAGGACTGCTTTGGAGAAAGGTTTTGTGATTTCTGACAATCAAGGGGATGGAAACTGCATGTTTTTTGCACTTTCAGAACAACTTGACCGCATCAAAGGAATTAAAATCACCCATGAAGAGTTACGCCGAACTGTTGTTCAGCACCTCACGGACAACCCTAGGCTGGTTAGTATCTTTTTTTAGTGCCTTAAAACTATTTATCTCATACTAGCAACTTAAGCTGACCCAAGTGGAAAAGGGAGAAAATAAAGAGGGTTTCTTTCTCAATATAAATCAAATAAGGGAAGCCCAAGCATAAATGGAAACGGACGGGGGAACATTTCCTTTTCTCGCCTCGGCCGTTAAGCTTCTTTTGCTTACGTTTAAAAAAACAGACCTGTAACTTGACTGAAATAGAACTTTGCCACCACGGTAGCATTTTTCCTGCTTGGCTCCTCCTTTGCGCCATCCACACTATCTGAGCGCTTGAAGAGGCTAGCGGACATATAGAGTTGGTCCTTATATCGTTCTTTATTTATTTTGTTTGAAACTGTATAAGGCGGACACTTATTTTAGAGTACGACTAAAAACGGTGTCTGTGGCCCAGGGGAGGACTCCCTATATTGACCTATACGGGGAGGCTCCGCTTGAAAGGGGTACCTTTTCAGGCTTCAGGTGTATGAAAGGGTAGGGACTTCATTAGTTTCAGTGTAAAAAGGGGGCAGGAAAATCTGTCATTTCGGTCTGTAAAAGGACTAAAAAGGGCTAACAGACGCATTTTATGGATGTAAAAGAAACAAGAAAACTTCCTGGTTTAGTGATTTATTCATAAAAAAAGATGGTGCATTTAGAGCAGTTTTAACTTTGCATAAGGGTAAGTGGCTGGACCTCGGGGCGGAGCCATCCAAAAATAAAATTGTTGAGTACCCCCCCCCCCCGGGTCTGTAGTGGAGAGAGCTGACTGCATAGTTTCCTGAATAAGAACCGTCCAGAAATGCAGTTTGTAGTAACTAGAGCATTTGTTCTCTTACAGCCGGATGGGACAGATCTCTTCCAGTTTGTTGATGGATATTCATCTTGGAACGCTTACCTCACAAGCATGAAGGCAAATGGTACATGGGGTGATCACGTGATTCTCTTTGGTGCGGCAAACTGCTTTGAAACATGCATTTACGTGATAAGCAGTCTGCCGCATCACCATGACGTGATGATCTGCCCAGAGTATGATGTTACTGGTAGCAACCGGCTTGTGCTAGGTCACGTGCATGAGCTTCACTATGTTAGTCTTATTCCACTTGAAGCATGCTAAGATGTCTAATTACCCTACAATGTTTCATTTCCAAACTCACGTTACCAAAATCATGTAATGTGAATCAAGCAACTGCACTTTCATTTGCCACCTTACTGTTGTGTTGATGGCAAGAAACTTCTTTATCCATATACGCTGAGCGCGTCCTTTTAGTCACATGTTTGTAAACGGAATAATTAGACGATATGATTATTTCATAGGGGAAACTTTCAGTCTGTAAATAATCATACCCAGTCCTTTTAGGTAATATGAAAATCTACTTATTTTAGTCATTCTATTCTATTCTAAAAGTATTGAGTTGTTAAGGATCATATTACCTGCAGTCGCTGTAAGCATTCGAGGAAAACTTCTGTCTTAGTATGTCGCAGAATTCCTAGTTTACACATACGCCGCAAACATGAGTGGCAGTTTGGTCACCTTGTTGTTACAAACATCCTAACAAAATGCGTGTACTAGTGATCACCTGGTTGCTGTTTATGTGCATGTTGCTGGTGATTATGTTTGCGGCGTGTGTGTAAACTGGGCCTCACCGTATACACTAGTAGGAATTCATTCCAGCATTTTCAATAGCATTTAGTTATTAAGGACAAGCTTTGCTTTGTCTTTGAAACTATTCAGAATTAGGTAAAATATTTAAGTAGAATTTGTTTCTAAAGCGTCATTCCTTACCAAGGGTACTTGTCAGTGACGGTATATATCAAGCTTTAGTTCAAATACTCTTTGTAAATTTTGATGGTTAAGGGTCATGCCTATCTCAAGATGCCCTTACCAGTCTTTATGAATCTAGTCAGTCAAAGTACAATACAAAAGAATTTTTTTTCGTAAAGAATCGGTCCTGCATAAGGTTGCTCCTTATCAATTTGTGAATATTTATTTTTCGAACCATTAAAATAGCTGCTTTTGGTTCTCTGAATATGCCTAAGCATATTCCTTTTCATTCTTTATGTTTTTTTAAAAGGTTTGTATTGAGGTACTTGTAGTAATATAGATTGTAACGAATGAAGTCTGGTTAATATCATTGGCTCAGTAAGTTAGACTCGTTTTTAATTGGGTAGTAACTTTTTCGGGTGGTTTGTTAAAATACCAGTTCATATATTTAATTGAGTCTAGAAGTTAGTAGGTTTCTTAGTTTATCGTGGTCATCCATTTGTTAATTGTCAAGCCTAGTAAATTAAAGTAGCCACTTAACTGATGATTCATGCAGTTGCATTTCATAGACTAATTCTGAAATTTTTTAATACACATTTTTTAACATATCTTGCTAATCTCATGTTAGATAACTCGTTTGTTCTGTCAGGTGACCCAGTTTAGTCAGTCAGTCAGTCAGTCACTCAAAACGCCACGCTGTGATTCAGTGATTCATTCATTCAATCGAGCGTTAATCGAGTCAGTTAGTTCGTCAGCCCGTCAATCAGGCTGGCAGTGACTCTATTAGGCAGTTTTGTCAGTTGTATTTTAAGGTCTTTTAACCTTGCGTTCTTTTGGAGTATGTTTATACCTGTGTTAGGACAGTTAGGTATCGTGTAGGTTAAGTGAAACGGCCTGTAACAATTATTGCCAAATACGAGTTACAGGTAAATAAAAGAAAGCAATGAAACTAGAGTTATAGTTCGTAGTAGTCTACTATCTATTTTACGGGTTAAGTAAAATCACTCTAGTCGTCAGTAAGGAAGGTAAGACAGTTAAGCCAAATCTGATTTTGCTTTTGTTTTTGAGAGCTATTCTGTTGTTGTTAACGTGGTTATATGTAGTGAGGATTCATAATTGTAATTTAGTCAGAGCTGTTAAATTCTTTCAAATAAATCTTTTTTCCATTCCTTGGACTGGTTTTAAGTGGGAATCTTTCGTTATATATTGACGCTTTGTGAAAAATAGTTTTTCGCGCGCCTGTTGAAAGTGGATGTTAACGATCTGCCTCGTTTCCAGACTTTCCTTCTTCTCTTCACTGCTGCGACGAAGGTACGTACACTACCCAAATCCTAAAAATTGCTAGAGTGTTTTCACTCACGTGGCCAGGATCTATGCAAATTTATTGGAACAAAAGAAAGCGTTTGCATAAGAAAAGAGTTTAACTCCCACAGGATTGGTTTGCGACACCAACATGGCCGCCGTTTCTTTGTTTTGGGACACCAATATGGCTGCTGTGACGTCATGTGAAAACACTCTATTGATTTGTACTGGTCTCAACTCTTAACATTTTATCCCCTGCAAGTAAAAAAATTGCTGCACTTCTCCTTGTTTCATCAGATGGTACAATTTTGACAGAACAAGAGTTTTATCTGTCTAAACAGGGTCTGAAGAAGTTATTGGGTAAACAATAAGAGGTCTTTTAAATTAGGTATAAGCTTGCTGTCTCTTAGTTTAATTTAGCATAATTTTCGGGTGTACGGTGTATTACACGTCTTTCATTTTGGGGTTTATTGCGGTTATCAGTTTTGCTATACAACCCATCATCCTGGTCCACCCTGTCTTCGATTTCTAATACATTATTTCCCGTCCAAAGATGCTTTGTACCAGCTAGTCCCTAGCGTTTTCGGCTTGGTCACTCTTGGACTCTACCGTGAGCTGTAACGTCACCGAGAGAGACTCGCTGAGAACTTCTCGCCCACTCTTTCCCAGACTTCGCACGGACACCGGGGCAACAGAGAACGCCAAGGTACTAGGCGGGCTTTGTACCTGGAACCTCACTTATAAGGGCTAATTATTCACGCCAAGGCTAACCTTTGACTGCGGTTCAAAACAGGCTCGTTGACCCACAGATATTGATACATATATGCCTTCTTAACACTATTCTTAGTAAAGTGATTGGGGGTGGGGGATTTTCAATTTGCAGGAATTTTCTTTTTCTGGTTATTGCTAATGCAGGAATTTTTGTCCCCGGTAACACCCTCTGCAGGATTTTTTCGGTGGGCAAACATTATTTTCTAGACTGGCTTTTTCACTACGCTTAACAACATACATACATATTACATGCAACAAGAACGTCCTTAGTAGCGTTGAGTCTCGCTTGCTTGGAGCCCATGGTGCTTGCAGAAAAGTTTTGTTGTCAAAGGCGGTGGTGCTGTTATGCTACTTTTTCGTTTTGAATATAAAACGAGTGTTAGGTCATAATGTAAATACTCAAAACGTAAAAGTTGCGGCAAGGAGAGACGGGTCGCACATCCGGCTTAGTTTCACACCGGTGTGAAACATTTGAAACCTTTTACATGTTGATATTGCTCCAGTGAGGAGAACTCTTTCAGGGAATTTACACTCAAACCATTGAACGATGATTTTTATCAGTACAAGAGGCACGAGTGCGTGAACCCGGCCTTCTTTTAGTTCATAAAATGATAGAGCGCCGGGGTCACAATCTTAGGTAGTAAACTAATATTTTGAGGAAAAAATCTTTGAAATAACACCCTATACGAAAAGGAAGAGAACATAACGCTCAGTTGGGAGAGCGCCGGTCTGCTGAGCGTGAGGTCATGGGTTCGAACCCCGGCCGGACCAACACTCAGGGTCTTTAAATAACTGAGAAGAAAGTGCTGCCTTTGTAATGACATCTGCAAACGGTTACACTTCTAGTCTTCTTGGTTTAGGACAAAAAAACTGTAGGTCCCGTCTCACAGCACTTACACTTATCTGGTTCTTGTGGGACGTAAAAGAACGCACACCACTGTTCGAAAAGGGTAGGGGACGTAGACCCCGGTGTTGTGGTCAACCTTCACACATCACATCATTCACATCATGGCATGGGGGGGGGGGTACAATAAGCTAACAAATGGACTGAGAGCGGCTGCCAGTGGCGCCTTTGTATATGCTGACGTCCGAGCTTACTGTTCACATGTTAGAGAATCCTGCTAAGGGGGCCGACCATTCAACTCTTGAAGGGGGGGAGGGGGTGGGTGATTTTGCAAAAACATTTCCTGCAAGCGCTTGTCGGAAGGAAAACATTGCATGCAGCACAAACGTAATAGAAAGCTTATGGGAAAAAAAGGGAAAAAAGATATCCTGGCCACTATATTGCTAGAAAAAAAAAATTCTTGATGACCAGAAATCACCCAAGCCCAAGCCCACCCCCCCCCCCCCCTTAAAGAGTTAAATGGTCGGCCCCTAAACAGGGACGACAATGAAAATGGCTTCAAGATTAATAGATCTAATTAGCAAAAAACAAATTGCACGTGCAGCACACTTTTTCTTCTAATTAGCAAAAACAAATTTGCCAGCTTTTTTGTCTTCCCCTTGCCGTTGTTTTGAACGACTACAACGCTGTTTTGTGCGACTAAAACGTCGAACTTCCTAGTTACACATTATTTTTATGGAGGAATTGTCTTATGTGCTCACCCAATATTTTGTTTCCTGTATTCATGTTCCCTTTTATTTTTCACTGCCTCTCATTTTCACCTCGCTGGCCGCTCCTTGCTGGGCGCTAGCATTTCTCATTTGCTCACCGCCGCTTTGAATTTCTTCTTACGAAATTCGCCTCCTTAGTTCTTAATAACTTGCTCCAGCTCTTTCTCTGTTAAAAAAATAGCGCCGAAAAAGACACGACTTTGTTGCTGTTTTTTCTTTCTCAAAGTCCAGGCGGCCATGTGATTTCCTTCCAAATAAAACTTTGAGTTGCATTTGGGTTGCCATACCTGTCGATTGAGTTATTTTACATTGGTATGCCTGTGGTGCGGACGGACGGTCGCTCGCTCGGTGTACGGTCACGTGATTATTTCCTTAGCTATGGAGCTCCGCTATCACTAAACATTTCGAACAAAATAATTGTCGATCTCTCATAGAGGCAACAAAACCACAAAACAAAAAACTGACAAAAAAGCTGCCTTTTGTTCTCGACAACATGTCGAGGAGATTTTACCTCTAAGCCAATGAATTTTCCGGAATCGATCGCGTGATATTCCGCCAGTACAAGCAGGCGCTTTAAAGAGCAGAGGGCGACTCGACGACGAAGGAAAACCCAGGCCATTTTAAAACCCGTCTCTTCCTGAAAGGAAGGCCGGGTAGGTACAGTTTTTGAACAGTACAGGTAAAATGTGTAAGTTTAGAAGAACCTTATATAACAGACAGTTAATTCAGTTTGCGCGTATTCCTGTTGAATTTGTTGTCCGTTTTATAAGATAACAAAATCGCGTGAAAGTTATTACATTTTTCATAGCTGCTTAGCCGATCCGCTTTTGATATCTCCGTACAGTTGATGATTACGTGATCTCAGAGTGCAATTTTTAGAGCTGTACACAGCATGCATTTTATCACAGTACAACTGGGATAGAGCGTTTCATTTTCCAGGAAAATTTCACTTTCTCGTCAAAACAATCACTGCCTCAGTCAGACTCGGAGTAGTTTACCTAAATTTAGTGCTCAGTACATCCAGAGATATAGCGATGACCATATAAGTCAATTCTCTAGGTTTCGATTCTCGCCGAAGGAAGTTTCTTTTTTCCTATTTTTTTCTTTTCGTTTTGCTTTTGTTTTCTTAGTTAGGTTTGTTTTTTAAACATATTTTCATTTTTTGACAGACTTAAATTATTGTAAGTTCATTATCAGCTTTCATCATTATCAAATAGCAGAGGAGCTTCTATCTGGACCTTTAGATTCGTGGTCGAGAACGACAACGAATACGAGATTTGACTTTTACCTTTTTCGTGGATACTCAAAAAATACACATCCCGGAAAGCTTTCATGCAGTTATTTCACCAGAAAAGTCAGCACTGTTATTTTCAATGAAGGAAGTTAAGCCATCTCCTAAGCGCACAGGCAACAACAAAACTTCCAACATTTGATAAGTTGCTTCCATCACTACGACATTCTCGCTAAAACTCGAAGTAGAATGACGACGACTATCACGTGTTCCCGCCCAAATGGCGCTGGTTCACGCGCAAGCACTACTTAGTATTGAGAGTACTCGTCTTAGAATCTAAATGTCTCTAATGTACCACACTTTCAAGTTCCACAATTTTTTATTCTACAAAGAAACTATTGCAGTTGCTGACAATGTTTAAATTCTAGTTAGGGCTTGGTGAGCGGCTCTGTATTGCCTACTCTTCTTCTTTATCACTTTACTCAGCAGCTGGCGCGATGCCGAACGTGGCCGTGATGGGGATGGCTAGCGTGGCCCTTGAACGTGATCGCCCTCTTTCTCGCCTGCTCTGAATTTCACGGCTTTTTCACCACGGTTGCTGCGTTCTCGGCGCTCGGGGGTACGTGACCTTGACCTTGAGTGCGAACGGCGGCGTCGAGCGTGACCCGTAAACGTGAGGGTGAAAGCTCCCTTTCCTCCCTTGCCCGTTCTCTTTCTTTACGGCTGCTGCGTTCTTGGCGCTCGGGGGTAGTAACCTTGACCTTGAGTGCGAACAGCGGCGTCGACGCTCGGCGTCGAGCGTGACCTGTGAACTTAATGGTGAAAGCTCCCTTTCCTCCCTTGCCCGTTCTCTTTCTTCACGGCTGCTGCGTTCTCGGCGCTCGGGTGTACGTGACCTTGACCTTGAGTGGAAACGGCGGCGTCGACGCTCGGTGTCGAGCGTGACCCGTGAACTTGATGGTGAAAGCTTTTCCCGTTCTCTTTCTTCACGGCTGCTGCGTTGTCGGCGCTCGGGGTAACGTGACCTTGCTCGGGGGAACGTGACCTTGCTCGGGGGAACGTGACCTTGACCGTGAGTGCGAACGGCGGCGTCGACGCCTTAAAAAACAATCAAAGCGAACGGCGGCGTCGACGCTCGGCGTCGAGACACGTGAACGTGATGGTGAAAGCTCTCCTATTTCTTGCCTACTTTCACGGTGACGATCACAGGTCCTTTCACCACGGCTGCTGCGTTCTCGGCGTTCGGGGGAACTTGACCTTGATCGTGAGTGCGAACGGCGGCGTCGACGCCTTAAAAAACAAACATTTCATAGATTAGCATCTTATGCAGAAGTCCTACAATATAATGGTTAGCTTTCCAAGTATGAGCTGAAAGGTGTTTAGTATCTAGAAGCCGAAACGGATTCCTGCCTTCATCAAACCTTGACGGACCATTTGAAGGTCTTAGTATTTTCACAGGAGAGATTTTTAGGGTTACTGAAATAAAAACCGTTTTGAAATATACACATACTACAAATAAATCATTTTAACGATCCCAAACACCGAATTTTTTTAAAATGAAGACATGATTGCAAATTAACCCGATAAAAAAATTGCGGGACTTCAACGGGATTAGAACACATGGCCTCTGCGTTAGCGCGGCAGTGCTCTATCAATTTAGCTATGATCATATTTCCGCAGTTCACGTCATCTTCATTGATCCACCGAACTCTCCTCAAGCACTTAACAACTTCCACTGACGAAACGTATTCAGTCAAGCCAGGTCAAGCGTACCCCCGAAGATACCATTAATGAATTTACAGTCGACCCCCGGTAACTCGAACCCTATATAAACACTCTGAAACTCGAACCTGCTGCTAACTCGGAGCGATTTTCATTTCCATTCAGATCATTTTCTATATAATTTAACCCTCGATAACTCGAACTTTTCTATTTTCCCTATGAAGGTTCGAATAACCGGGAGTTGTCTGTATTGATCGAAAGTTGAATCTGTTGGATCTCTTTATTCCTGCATGCGTAATTTTGAGCAGTGAATTAACATGCGAGGCAATTACGAAATTTCTACCAGCTTGGTTTTCTTGAATTTGATGAAAAGCAATAATATTTTACAAACACAAAGATTTTTCATTCAGACCGAATACAGAGAGATTATCGTAAAAAAATTAACTGTTCATTATTTATTTACGCATACAGGAATGCAAATTTGAATTTGATATTGTTTTTTGGGGCAAACCTAAGGGATTCAACTTTGAAATCATTCATGAATGGCATCGTGGGGGTGTGCTTGACCTGGTTTGACTGTATTACAAACTTTTTTTGGATTTTTTGCAAATGATGCATTTTTGGCAGTAACTGTGGAGCAAATTGAACCTTATCTGCCCAGTGAAATAGTTTTTTTTTTTTTTAAGACGGGCTGACAATGTACAGAATGTATTGAGCACAAGGCTTAAACAGATGACATGAACAATAAAGGATAATTCTTAAATAAATTAATAAATTATTGTCCACCTTACCTTGGACTCCGACTACGGGAGCGGCGACTGCAAAACAATAAGAAATGACTAACTCAATAAATTCTAACGTGTCAAAATTGGTCTGTCAAGCACTGAATAAGATTGTATCCCTGTTGCCTTCATCTCTCCTACTACTGCTGCCGGCCTCTCCCCTTACCTTTTCCAACGCATCTGTGCTGGTGCTATAAGAGGAAGAAAAAGGTTTCATGTTAAGTGGTCGTTATTTTGAACAACAGAAAATGTGTGTGGTACACAGTTAGGGCACATATTTAAATTTCGACCGGCACATTTTATTCTTATGCCTTACTTTTTCTGGCTCCCTCTGCAAACTGAACTTCTAGTTCTCTTCCGAGAAGCATAACTCCGTCCAGGTAGTGATGGGCATCCTCGGCACCACGTATGTCTTCAAAAGTATGGTATGTTAAGGCTTAATTTTCTTTCCTTCGACCTAACCTGAGATCAGGCTCAATTTTCGTTTCGTTTTGTAGTAACATTCCGGCGGGTAATGCGAAACTAAAACAGATTTTAGCGGTGGCCGTTAGAGAAAATGTATTGGAACTGCTAAAATTGGGCCTGATCTCAGGTTACCTTCGACCAAGCTTTGCCTGGAACAAAAGCTTGATAATTGCTTACTCTGCTGACAAAACCTTTTGATGGTTGATGCCCCTGCTTTATCAACTCGTTCAGGTATTACTAAATAAAAAAGACTTTAATTTATTAACTTCCTTTTTGGGACATCTTCAAAACTGCCAAACACTGATCACCTTGTCAATCTACAAGCACAACCTTTTAGTTTATAGTTACACTCTCACTTTTCATTGAAATTAAAAGTGATCTTGATATCCTGGCAAAATTAATTCCTTTTAGCGAAATCCTGTGCAAACACATTCACATCTTCTATATTTACACTACACATAAAAGACTGCAGAAATGATGACGGTATCACCATTATCTCAATGTTGAAGTAGGCTGAAATGTCACCTTTCAATTTTGTTTCTTCTTTTGCTCCGAAAATGATGCTGTTAAAAAAATTGTTTTAATTATGGTCTATGGAAAAGCGTTTTTTCATCCCTACTTTTATCATAGGTATAAGAGTTTGATATACCTGGTTACATTGAAACTGTGATACGGTTACGGCCACTGGCTTCACAATCTTTTCCTATTTCTTTGACACTTGTCCTTGCCTTGACTGCTGTTTAGTGTTAGATTTAGCTTGTATAACTTCTACCTTGAACATAACTTTGACTTTTTCTGTGGCTGGTCTAATTTTGGGTATTTTGTATTTTTGAGGTTTGCTTTTACAACTTTTCTTTGAAACTTGTCTTCACTCGAGAAGTTTTAACTGGCTTTGGAATTAGCTTGGTACAACTTGGTAGCTAGAATGAACTCTACATGTTTGTGTTTTTGGCAAAAACACAAACAAACATCAGTAAATTGCGGGTGAGTCGCAGCAAAACTATAAAAATCAGAGAAAACTGCAATATTTAAAAGCTCAAACATAACGGGCAAGCTAAAGGGATATCTCTTTCAATTAACAAAATTGTGGGAAGAGCTGGTCGCACTTACAGCAAGGCAAAAAAAAGCCACGAAGCCAACTGATCAAGAAGAAGCAAGAAGTAATCTTAAGCTTATATCAAGATAATGGTAAATTGTCTAAAAAATGTCAATATTCAATTCCTTTTAATGTAATTTTATACTTCTTATTATTCTATTTCACTTCTGTAAAATCAGTAAAATGAGGTTTAAACTGCTCTGTATTATCGTCTCTATAATACTGTGTGTTCAACTGCGTGCATGTTTTTGTACTCTTACACATGGACAGTTGTGATCAAAGATATTGACAAGTATTGTAACCTAAATTTATATATAAACTTTGCCTTTTAAGTCGTCTTTGTTCAATAAGGTTGAAGGTACGCTAAGTTGATGCTTAGGAACCAATGAAATTTTGGCATCTAACATGACATTCACTCGGCTTAAGGTCAAACAAGGGCATTTTGAGACCGCCATCATGATTCTTCACAATTTTTTCGTCTTTTACCACAGCTAAAGGTGTTTAGAAGCATAACATTGAAATATCTATATGATTCAAACGCTGAGTATAGTGATGGAGCTGTTTAAGGGTCCATATTTTAGTGTGGGCGCTGCTGCCTCAAGACGTTTCTGACCTAATTCGGCTATCGTTAACGGTACAACGAACCCACGTATTTCATAATTTATGAGTTCTCTTTCACCTGCTTCAAGGTAGAGTGTAAAAGATTATATATTTTTCAAAGTTCCTCCAATTAAACAATACCCTGCGAGCAGAGCCTCCTTCGGACTCTTCTCGCAGTGTAATGAAACTTTAATTGGAATTTAGATATGGACTAACTGAGAAATAACGCCTTAAACCTAGACCAAGCATTGTGTACACACACATTGTCGATGTTTGTGTTATGTATAGGTAATCACATGATTTCGAGTGCAATTTGGAATAAATAAGCACGAGTAAATTTTTCGGTTTGCAATAATCAGCAAAAGTAAGTGTTTTCAAATTCATCCTCGATTATCAGACCTCGTGGTTTACTTGAAGTATACTGCCGTTTTGAAATCAGGAGAACTCTTCGAGCAGCCAAAGATGAAAGACACTTGCTGAGTTGTTTAAAGAATGTTCATCACTGTCTGTTCCTGAGACCCCATCACTGCTGGATTCATGGAGAACATTGTGAGATTTAAAACCCGAAAATGAAGGAGGCAATTTGTTTTCTTCCGAAGCTGACATCGATGAGTGAGACTACCAGTACTAAAATATTGCTTTTTCTCAGCACTGGGGTTTTCATTATTTCATTTGGCCTACTGCAAGAGCCATCGTCGCTCTTCTTCGTCGACTTCATCGTAGTCGTTGAGGAAATTTATACCTCGATTGGCGATAAGTTCTGAACTTACAATCTCTGCTTTCTTCAGCTTGCTGACTGTTGTTTTTCTTGCACTATGATTCGTAAACTTTTTTCCCACTTTCTTTAAGGCTAGTACCAGCTACGATACTTTCATTATGTTAGTTTCATTATTTGGTTTAGTTTGAACCATATGTTAAAATTTTTAGTTTCGTTCAAGCGCCACTGAGGTAGAAAAAAAACAGACCATCGCATGGATGTTTTAATAGTGGTCTTCGCTCCACAAAAGACTCAAAGAAAGCAACTGGACGCCTTTTTCCTCCAACAAATAACGTACATGACTTGAAATCCCTGTTGTTATCACGGAAAACTTGTATCCTTGGCTTGTTCATTTAAATTTCTGAAAAGTGTAGCTGTCGTGGTTAGCGTGTGGTTGCCACCGTTTTTGTTCTTTATTTTTTTATTTTAGCGTAGTTTGTTACAAGTAGCTTGTGTTTTAGTTTCTCTGGCTTATTTTCCTCAATTTTTTTACAGTATTTTTTCGTAGCACCGCATTTTCAATACATTTAGCCAGAAAGACGTACTTTTTACTGTGTTCGGGTTTTTGGAATATATTTTTTTAAATTTTCTATTGTTGTTTTGCGTACAAAATCAAACCGTCTTTTGCTGAACTGAAAAGCATGGCCATTTTCTTAAATTTTGTTGTTAAAACACCTCTAATCTGATTGGTTCTTGGTGGTTTCTTTTGTATTTTCAGCTAATCAGAATCCATTTGTAATTTGCACTCGTGTTACCAGTTTGCATTCGTGTTACAAGTTTGCACTCGTGTTACAGAAGAACTGAACTCCTTTCTCAGCCAATCAGAATTGAGTAATTTTTTCCTGTATATTATTACATGGGAGTACTCATTTACATTCCAATTAACATTTCTAAGGTCATCACATCGTACTTTGCATAATTCCTGAAACTTTTACCTTCAGGTGGGGCCTTGATCCAATTAATTCAGTTTTCGTATGCAATAAGCAAATTCATGATCACTGAGACTTAAACTTAGCACCCCGGACTCCTTATTGTTATGAGGAGCATTCGTAGCGATTATCCAAAAGTGTCTATAAAGAATCCTGAGTAATTCTTGTAGGCTGATGTATAAGCTGACTAAGGTTTTTCCGACCTCAGCAGGCCCTTAAGCTGTTTAAATTCCACCGAAGTATTGTTTCGTTTTGCCAAATAATTACAGATCAAGTCGCTGCCTAAAATAATCACTTCCTTGCTCCTAATTGCAGCTTGTTGTAGATCATTTTTAAATATAGACATGAAATCTTTAACAGCTTGATTTATAGCCTGTATTTGTATAAAAGAGGTAATAGATTAGACAAGGAATAATACTGGAATAAGGCTATAAAGGAGGTTAAGTATTAAAAAAAGGTAGAGTTTGCATGAAAAGCTGAAATGAGACAAATGTATTTTACAACAAGACGGTTAGAAGCGTTCACGTGGGATTAATTGGTGATGCATGCAGCAAGTTTAAATTGTTACTGCAGTAAGAATAAAATGTCTGCATGTGTCCCATGTTGCGATAATGGGAATGGCAGAAAAAAGGGAAACACAGAGAAACTGTTTAATCATTCAAATGCTTTAACTGAATTTTCTTAGTGGTCTCAAAGGGTATTTTAATAATGGTACTAATGATATGAACGCTATGAATTTACTTTTTTTGTAATTACAAACTGTAACATTACTTGTATAGTAATAACACTGTAGCTAACCGCAACAGAACGAACTAGAGTACAAATACAGTGAACGACAACCAACTTAGACATGTTTCAATGAACTTTTCAGGAAATCTTAAATGCGTTTTAAGATGTTTACGTTCAAATGGAAATATTTTTACTAAAGAGGTGTGGTTTGGGAATATGTGAAGTTCGTCTTTAGGGACATTTCTTATAATATGAATGTGTTTGAATATTCATCATCATCAAGTCGCATCAAGCCAGTAGGCGGATAAGGCCACATTTTTTAATATTGCAAATGTAAAAGTGTTTCCATGACAACTTCCTTATTTACTGAGTTTTGTTTTGCTAGGTTGTTACTAAATTATTTCGTTCATTTCCTATACCAAAAAACAAAACGATTTGTTAAATCAACGGAATGATGTAGAGAATTCTCACAATATAATTTTTCTTGGTAGATGTGATAAAGGACTAATGCAGGAGTTTCAGTGCTTTAAAGGGTAACAAAACGGCTTATGCCACGGTACTATGAAATAACACACGATAAATAAAGCATCAATGGCCGTATTTATACTAGAAGACGTCTTAGACGTCCAGACGCATTAGACGTCTGACTGTTAAGTGCGTGGTTAAGTGCGTCCCGCTTCTATACTAGACGTCTTAAACGTCTGAGACGACTAATTCATCTGTTAAGTGCGTCGATCGGACGCACTTAACTTCAGACGTTTTATTGGTCTGACGTTTAATGCGTCCGCCTTATTTCCCGTATTTATACCAGACGTCTTAGACGTCCTCTAGTATAAATAGGGCTAATGTTCTTTGTTAAGCTAGACTTCGATCTTATAATAGTCCAAAAAAAGCGAGTGATCTAGAGACAAGAGGCTCAGTTCGCTCAATAGAGACTACTCTCAAAAGAGTCTCTGTTTTCCTCAAACGACGCTCATCCATTCTTAGGAAAGGTTCATTCACCTCCGGAGGACGCGTGTTTGCGAGCAACGGCTTCGCCATGTTAGCTTGTTGAATCTTTTCACTTCGTACGAAACGACTTAACCTAGTGCAACACATAAATAGCCGTATCAAGGAAAGCGACCTGAATTCTAGAACAATAGGTATTCTTGTATTGTTATTTTTTATCCTTTCTTGCGATCAACGATTAACGTGAAGCAATACCTTTCAAGCGCCGCAAATCTCAACATTCCCGATTACTTCTTTCCGATGAGATTTGAATTTTTGGATTAATATGTTAAAAAGAAACAGCAAACAACTGAAAAGACTGAAAAAAAATCACACATTCTTTCACCTCACTGTCCGCGAAGTTTAAAACACGGTTCTGCGCCCTCGACCCTTTAAACATATTTATATATACGTTGTAGTTAAATTTTAATCTCGGGTAATTTTTGTTTTTTTGTTTTTGTTTTTGGATATGGTTACGTATGATAATAAAGTTGAAACAAAAGTAGAATAAAAATTACCTGAGATAAAAAATTAACTAAAACATGTATATATATATATATAAATTTATTGCGCTCTTCAAACAAAATTCTCGCGCTTAGTGCTCAACTTCTCTAACATGAACGCGCTGTTTATTTAATTAGTGGCAAACCTTTACAAACTTAGACTCAAAGAAACCACAACAAAAAGGATATTGTACATAAGCAAAGCCTCGGGATTCTCCTGTGTAGTAGTCCAAGGGAATGTACACGTCGGTAATTCGGCCATATCTGGCGAACAGGCGTCTAAGATCTTCGGATCTAACAAGAGAATTCCGGTCGCAAAAATTAGATAAGCAAAAAGTGAGCAAAAACTAAATAAAATGCTTTAACTTCTCTAACCTTGTCTCGCGATGCAAGTTTTTCACGAAAAGAGAGCAGTTTGGTGGTCTCGCCATTTTCGTTTCTTCTCGCTGAAAGAAAACCCCTCTATGAGAGTTATTATGGGCTGCCTAATGCCTTGGTATCCGCGTTCTTTCCAATCATCGGTGTCCCGGTTAAGAATAAATCCAAATTTGGCATGGGCTGCCATATTTGGTAGATGAAGCCTTTTTGCGCATTCTCGAGCCCACGTCTCGATCTCTCTCCCCTACATGCGCAGAAGAGCTATGGGTCGAGATTGCTTTTTGCGTTGCTGGCGCGATTCATTTCCCTGGGCATGAGCGCGCAAACATAACGCAACTTTATTCTGCTTGAATCTTTTCGTAACCCCTTTGAACTCTAATCCTCCATTTTCTGTGAGATTAGTTGCCTTATTTTATTATTTGGGCGTTAATAGAGTAATCGAGTTCGCTTGTTTTGATTCAAAGTTGTAATAGGCACGATATACATATTCGTAATACATCCCTATTTAAATATATTAAAAAATGTAATAGTTGGCACTATTTATCGACCGCCTGATGAAAATGTAACTGACAATTTGGATTCATTGCGAAAATTATTGTCTACTACTACTGGAGAGAATAAGATCTGTTATGTCATGGGCGATTTTAATTTAGATCTTTTACGGCATGAGCAACATGCCATCACAGGAGAATTTGTCGAGCTTATGTTTTCTCACCTACTTTACAACATGATCACAAAGCCCACCCATATAACATCTAACACCACCTCCCTTATTGATAATATTTTCACTAATAATGTTACTTGTCTATCTGTCAATGGACTGATTGTAAATGATTTATCTGACCACTTGTCGATTTTTGCAATTAGCCGTGGAGACTTTGATTACGGCACTATTTTTTTGTAGTGTTTGTGTTTTTTTGTAGTGAAATTTACCAGGTTAATAACTACAAAAGGCGGGCTTTGTAGTATTAATCGTAAAGAGCAGTACTTTGTAGTTATTAATCGTAAAGGATGTCATTTACCATTAACAATTTTGTCAAACAGTTAATCGTGAAAACCAAAATTAATAACTGCGTTTGACAGGCTTTGTACTTTGTAGTTAACAATCGTGAAATTTACGTAACTATAGTAACAGGTTTTGTAGTTACAGTCGACTCCCGATAACTCGAACCCTCGCTAACTCGAACAAAAATCGATTTCCCCTGGATTTCCGTCATACATTGGCTGTAATTTTACCCTCGGTAACTCGAACCCTCAAAAACTCGAACTCCCGCTAACTCGAACCAATTTTCGTTTCGCCTCAGGTCATTTTCAATATAATTTTATTCTCGATATTAAACACGAACCATGTTTTGAGCCCTTAAAAAGCCGGGGAAAAAGCCGTCTACTGACGTCCGAAACATTGAATTTTGGATTTCCCGCCCTATTGACGTGTTGTAGGAGTATAGTTTACTGGTGGAGGCTAATGTTGATTGTCACAGGCTAACGTGAAGCAGCTTTTCTTCTCAAAACAGTACAACGCATGCTCTATTTAGGCCATGTTTTGTTACGTTACGTTCTGATTTATAATCTAGAAGTATCTTTTAATTTTCACTTGATATTTCTACAATTAAATGTGATTAAAATGTTCACTGTGCAGTAAAAACTGTTTTTTGTCTTACTCTCGGCTATTTTCTTCGACCTCCCGATAACTCGAACTCCCGATAACTCGAACCTTTTTTCGATTTCCCTTGAAGGTTCGAGTTATCGGGAGTCTACTGTATTTAATCGTTACCTAGTCCCTAGGCCTCATTATTATGCGCGGTCGATGCGTTTCGGGTCACGTAGTCCGAGAAGTTTTTTTTTGTCTCCCGGCCGTTCGTCCGGGATACGTCACTGAAATGCATTGACCGAGAAGGCCTGGAAAGACGCCGAACAAGGACTAGGCAAATTTAATCGTAAGGTTGTCAATTTCTCTAGAGAAGCTAACTCAAAAGCTAACGGCCGCCATTACAGAAAAGAAAACAAACTCAGACTCTTTTCTTCAAGGTGCTTGTTTCCACAAAAATACATCGCAGAAAACTTTTCGAGAGGTCAAAGTTTCCATTCAGCTTCTTTTTTGATCGATTTTTTTGTCTACGAAAGCTAGCTTCTTGTTTTTTCCCGATAAACAGACATCGTGCACGAAATTATGATAAGCGGATAAGCGAGTAAAACGTTCAAACTACTCTTCCATTGAAATTGAACTTGGAAAGAGGCATCTTAATCCTTTCCAAATGTAACGAAAATGAATTTGAGCAGAAAAATTCTCTATCGTAGTCTTTTTCTTGGTTAAATCGTCGACAATTTTAACGCGCTGTTGGTAAACAAGCGTGAAATTACACTTGCCGTGAGAAATTTTATCACCGATGTTGACCACATTCCTGGACAAAATAATGGTTTTCAATTTTGGTTTAACTCAAAAGCCAGAGGGGCAGCTTTCTCAGGCAAGTTAAGGCATGGGTTGAAAGGCTAAAAAGACCCCCCACAGAGAATGCAAAGATCCTCTTTAATGACACAGACGGATCCAAGTAAAGGGTTCCACAAAGATGTGATAAGACAGGTCTCACTAAAATAGTTTTGGAAAATTTTATCCCAAGCATCACGTGACATTCCTTAGACCATGACGCCACAAAATCTGTTTTCTCAAACGGGGCAAGGTTGTTAAGCTTCAGCCTAAAAATACTTGTCATCAAATTGTCAGCGAGACTGTGTGAATTGTCAATTAGCCGTGCAAGGTGGATTAAAGCATTTTTATTAAGAGTTATTAAAGTATTTTATAAGTCACGTGACCTGTTTTTCCTTATTTCGTAATCCTTGCTCCACTTAGGCATACATGCAGGGCTATTTCATAATATCCAGGCCGTGGGAAAAACACTGGTGCCTAAGAGTATTTGCTGCTCTTTCATTTCCTTGCCCCCGTTTTAATTTGAAAACTTTGAACGTTAACAATCATTTGCAGGTCACGTGACTAATATTTCAACAATGAATATGTCACATATTGTTAAGGTCACCGAGCTAAAACTGTTTGCAAAGTTTCATGACGACTGATCAAAACAATCCGTTTCAAATGCCACTTTGCCAAATTATATAGATTAGGACACCCATGCCTTAACATGCCTGAGTTGTTTCTGGCATTTTCCTATCCTCACCGAAAGCCGTCTTAATATTTCGGCAGGGTTCGAGAAACAGTCGGCCGGTGTTCAGATTGAAGTATCAACAAATTTATATAATGACATTCAGCCAGAAAAAAGAAAACCGACCGTCTTCTTTTTTACAACACGGGTGAGATACCTCTCTATACTCAAAATCTGATTCTGATGGTAAAAATCGATCAGATTTGTTTTTTGGAGACTCATGAGCATGCTTTTTTTGTCTGCAATCACACGAGTGTAAGCGGCAATTTTATCTTCTTACATCTCACTGTAAAACACTACCTGAAAGCTTTCAATTCGATTCGAAAGAGAACATTTTCTACAAAACAGAGAAGTATATTCAACCAAATTGCAAGACGACAAACTAACCTAGTCAAACCGAATTATCACATTGCCTTGATCGTGAAAAGCGCTCATCCAAGCGAACACGATTCGCAGAATTATGGATAAAATTAATTTACCTTCAGCATTTTCCAAAACGAAAACTTGCTAACGAGAAATAAGAATTAAAAAATATATGTTTTCCGAGGACAGATTCATGCTCAAGGCTAGACAAAGCTGGAATAAAACGGATTTCTTTATAGATTCGAACCTGGAAGGAGTCGGTCTGGGAGACCTACAACCAGAAAAGCTGTTGAAATGTAGAACCTGTGGCCTGCATCATTTAATTGTTCTACTTCATGTAAAGCAGGAGGTTTGCTATTGGTCATTGATCTACACCCCAACAACATCAAAAGGGATGACGGAAAATAAATTCCAGAAGCTTGGTTGCCCTTAACCAAGAAACACAGCAGTAGGAGATCCGTAAGACAGCGGACTATTGAGGCCACAGCTCATTCAAAATTCCCCAATCTCAGCAGTTATGAACCGACCAACCAGAACCGAGCTTGGAGTCATATAAGTTCAAAGTGTTACAATTCCTGATAAACACTCGCAGTACGCAGTTGAAACGTCGAGATCTAAGTCATTTTAATGACTTAAAAGTGACTACATCGTGGGACAGACGATTACACTTTATTAATATTACATTACTGTAGACCAAAAACGCCTGTCAGCTAGAAGGAAGAAAAAGATCTCGGTGTCAAAAGGTATGTCAGCTGCCTGTAGATTCAACGGCCGACGTGAAATATTTGGTTGCAAGAGTCTCTTTGGACATAAAACGTATGTGACCCCCACACAGATCGGACATTTATTAACTGGACAATTTATCCGGGCAAGCAGATATTCGTACTGTACAGGAATTGGAAAGCTAGGGGAAGACCTTAGTTCAGAAGTACCTTACAGTGCTGTTATTCAACCGGGGAACAACCACTGTTATTGCTGTTTGGCTAAAATTATACTGATTTATTCGAAGTTTGAATCTTATGCTTTCTTGTGATTGGCTTATAAACCTGCCTTGCTCGTATGATCATGAGCAACACTAATGATAAACCTTTGTAAATACTCTTGATGAACGTTACATATGAAAGATTCAAATTTCCGCCGCAAGATCTTACAAGACGTGCAATACGTTAAGGGAAGTGACCTACTTTTAAGGTATGGATTAACAATAATGAACCGAGGTTTAACTCATCTTTACCTTTAAAGCTCTGATAGAACTTACAACTTCAACTAAAACTTAGAGTTAATGTTTTTCTCATCAGCCCATTTGAACATGTTCTATATTCTATACGTGGAGATAAACGAAGTTTTCTGAGTTGAAATTTTGTGTAAAAACATGGATGGGATCAATTTTTTCATCAGCGCTCAGGGATCAAATTACGACAAGAAAATAGGGATCAGTGGGTCCCGGATATACCATGTTACGACCCTGCCATGGGTTCGAATCCCGTTGAAGTCCCGCAATTTTTTTATCAGGTTAATTTGCAATCACGTCTTCATTTTAAAAAATTCGGTAGATGTTTGTCCAAATAAGTTACCCTTTCTTCACCCTTTTATTTGTTAAATTGGCAGAAGAGAATGAGTTTGGGATAGTTAAAATGATTTATTTGTGGTACTTGTATATTTCAAAACGGTGTTTATTTCAGTAACACTTTTAAAAATCTCTCCTGTGAAAATACTAAGACCTTCAAATGGTCTGTTAAGGTTTGATGAAGGCAGGAATCGGTTTCGGCTTCTAGATACTAAAACACCTTGCAGCTCATACTTGGAAAGCAAACCATTATATTGTAGGACTTCTGCATAAGATGCTAATCTATTCAATGTCTGTTTTTTAAGGCGTCGACGCCGGCGTTCGCAATCACAATCAAGGTCAAGTTCCCCCGAGCGCCGAGAGCGCAACAGCCGTGGTGAACGAAGCCATTATATTCATCGTAAAAGCAAGCGAGAAAGAGAACGGGAACGATCACGTTCACAGCCCACGCTAGCCATCCCCCTCACGGCCAGGTCGGCATCGCGCCAGCCGCAGCTGCTGCTGAGTAAAGTGATAAAGAAGAAGAGCGGGCAATACAGAGCCGCTCACCAAGCCCTAACTAGAATTTGAACATTGTCAACAACTGCAATAGTTTCTTTGTAGAATTAAAAATTGTGGAACTTGAAAGTGTGGTACATTAGAGAAATTTAGATTCTAAGACGAGTACTCTCAATACTAAGTAGTGCTTGCGCGTGAACCAGCGCCATTTGGGCGGGAACACGTGATAGTCGTCGTCATTCTACTTTGACTTTTAACGAGAATGTCGTAGTGGTGGAAACAACTTATCAAATGTTAGAAGTTTTGTTGTTGCATGTGCGCTTGGGAGATGGCTTAACCTCCTTCATTGAAAATAACAGTACTAACTTTTCTGTTGAATTAAGTGCCTCGAAGCTTTCCGGGATGTCTATTCAGTTTTTTTTAGCTTTTTTGAGTATCCACGAAAAAGGTAAAAGTCAAATCTCGTAGTCGTTGTCGTTGTCGATCACGAATCTAAAGGTCCAGATATAAGCTCCCCTGCTTAAGGTCTCTAAGGGCATCCTAATAGCCCGACCGACCCATTTGTTTCGAAAAGTAAAAAAATAAAAATCCAGATTCACTAGTCAAAGAAGCAAGTACTTTAATTTACAAGCACACGATCTTGTATTATTAATAGCAATTGGTATGATGTGATGTCCTTGTCTTAAATTAACATCGATACTACGTTTTTTAAAGGCTGTTTAGACATTTGATAGTCGAAAAGACCACGTTTTCGAGGCTTGAAGGTTATCATTAGATGCTATCAACCGTAGCCCCTTCGGACCCCTCAGGAAATTTACACAACCGGCGTAGTTTTCCCCTTTACTTATTAGGGTTAAGCACTGCCTCTACTGATTAGGGTTAAGCACTGCCTTTACTGATTAGGGTTAAGCACTGCCTTTACTGATTAGGGTTATGCACTGTTTCGAAACTGGTTAGGTTGATTTTTGGGGGTTGGGGTTGATGCCATATGTACTAAAATTATTTCACTTCCATCCAGCAAATCCTCAGTGGTCTAGTGGTTAGCGTAGTATACTATACCTTCTGGGTCGTGGGTTCCAATCCTACTCTCTTCCGTATCAATTTTTTTTTCTTTCAAATTGAAGAGACTTGCACTTTCATGAACATTTCCAGCTTGAAATATCATCTAAGAAAATCAGAAAACAGTTCTACCTTGTGTAAATTTCATGAGCGAAGAAAGGGGCTACCGCTGATGGCTGACCCCTTTTGAAGGAGCGTGCGCCTGAGCCTGCGTTTACCGCCGCATACTATGGGAAGTGCGCAGTCATTTTTGAGCCCTGCTCGGACCCTGCTGGATTAGCCTGTTCCAGGCGTTCAGATAGTGGGGAGCGTTACGAAATAAAAAGGAGTGCGAAAAAAGAATAGCGAGTCCTCCTCTACTTTTCATCGCTTTCTTTACTTCGCACCGCTCTCCACTATCTGAATACTATCTAAACGCTTTACTTGGAACAGGCTACTGCCTGATGGGCCGCTGGATGGATGTCCCGTCGTTTTTTGGTCACGTGGTCGGTTACAAATTAAGCCGAGTGGCTCTGGGGACGAGAATGATCCTAAGATTGTGCAGCTATTTCAGCTTCCGTCCTGGCTTCCATCACTTCAGCACGTACGACTCTTTTTTGAACTTTTTTGAAGGGAAAGCCTCGGAAAAAGTGTACCAGGAGCTGTTTACTAGTAACAAAAAAGGAGGAATGTGGACGAAAAGTGCCATTGGTGACTTGGAAAATCCCTAAACTGGTACAAATCCTAAAATAGCATCACCGCCATAGCTACGAGTACGAGGCAAGTTTTTGTAGTTTTAAAACTTTTTTCCTGTTCATTGTACAAAGCACAAAGATTTTTACATTGCCGTGACCGCTGCCGTGGTCTGCCTACTTAGTAGAAGTTCATAGAGCATCATTGACACGCTTGCGGCTCAAAGAGATCGATCGTTCATTACGCCCCAGGGAGGAGTGGGGATTTTGGTGTGGAGTACAAACTTAATTTTGTGGGTCGATTTTGAAAATGTACGGAATGTGAGGGGGTTGAAATTTTAAGACTAGGAATTAGCATTACATTAAAGAGTTGTTAAACCATATTATAATTAAAGCCAATCGTAGTTTCCTTTTTATAAGCTGTGTAGTTTATTTTCTTTCTTTGTCAACAGCACATAATGCCCCAGGGGTGGGAATACAGGAGGGTAGATTGGATTCTCTGCCCCTGGGGAGGGGAAAATTCACGACATTGTTTTAGTTCGAAGGGTTGGGGAATTGCAAAGTTTGTAAAATTGCGGATGGTAACCACAGGGATTTATATCGCAAAAAGGGTTTTATAAAAGGAGAAACATTACGTCTTTTAAGAACTAATTATAACTAGAGAAAACTTTGAACAAAGCAAACAAGATCTTGAATGAGGCTACCCTGTAAGCTCGTTCAAGAAATAATGACTGAAGTTAAGTTCACGGACGGAGACGATGCTCTTCGTAGCAAAACAAAACAATCAAAAGAGATTTTACCATTTGTTACTACCTACAATCCGGCCACACCGAATCTCAAAAAGATTCTCATGAAACACTTAAGTCTATAAGTTATCTTAAGTAGTCTATGGAAAAACTATCAGTCTCTCCTACCCTCTGTCTTCAGTTGTTCTTTCATTGTCATGATTTTTGTTCAGTAAAGATATTATATTGCTTTTCCAAGCCTAGCAGAAATGAGTAAAATTTCATCCCCAAATATAATAAAAACGCCCCCTCCATCAAGTGAATCCCAGTTATATGAGGTTTATCAGGGGGATTTTTCGTTGAGAAGCACTTGACCCAGGGACTTTGTCTTATTAAATTCCCCCACCCCTGGGGGAAATCCTCAACTTTGCTCTACCCATAAAGGGTAGTAACAAAGGGCTACATGTAGAATAGTCTGCAGTATGAATGGAAATAATTATGAAATGACTCATATTTTGAACTGTGGATAAAAATGTGACCTTTGACGGGGAAAAATCACTTACGGCTTTCCATTAAACGGGTGAAACGCACTAACACCAATTACTATTTGGTTGCCAAATTGGAAGAAAATCTCACCACAATTTCAAAACACTGCCAAAACTGCTGCTATTTTCTGCTATTTTGTGATTGACATCTCCAGTCATAAAATAATAGCAAACATCTTCCAGATTTTGTCAGTGCCACATAGCTGGCTTAAAAGAATTTAACCTTTTTAGAACAGAGATTATTTTGCCTGAATATACTGTTTAATTTTGCTAATCGCTGTTTTTGTTCATTTAAGTTTTAGGTCATTATTAAAAGCAAGACTGTCTCAAAAATTTTAAACATGGAGCATTATTCTAGTACAAATCTGAAAGCTTATATTAAATATGAAGGTGGAGTCGCAATTTTGGATCTGAATGGCAGAGGACTATCCAGTGTTCCTGATGCAGTTACTGAACTGAGTAAATTGGAGAAACTTAGGCTGGATAAAAATAACCTGATCAAACTACCAACAAGTATTAACAAGCTGAAAAATCTTACAAAGCTTGATTTAAAGCATAACCAATTAACCAAACTACCTGCTGAGATTGGTGACTTGAAGGAGCTGAGGGAGCTGTCTGTGAAACACAATCAGTTGGTTGGTTTACCTAGCAACATACAAAAGCTGAACAAGCTTGAAAAGCTGAACTTGTATGGTAACAAACTGACAGAACTATGTTCTGAGATTGGCCACCTGAAAGAGCTGCGGTGGCTGAGTGTGAGTTACAACCAATTAGCTGGTGTACCACCCAGTATACAGAAGCTGAAACATCTTGAAGGACTTTACTTGTGTGGTAATAAGCTGACCGAACTACCTGCTAACATTGGTGACCTAACAGAACTGAGGGTGCTGTCTTTGAGTAACAACCAGTTGGTTGGTTTGCCTACCAGTATAAAGAAGCTAAACAGGCTTGAGAAGCTGGACTTGTTTAGCAACAAACTAACAACACTATCTGAGATTGGCGGCCTGAAGGAGCTGAGGTTGCTGAATGTGAGTAACAATCAGTTGGTTTGCTTACCTACCAGTATACAGAAGCTGAACAAGCTTGAAGGGCTTTACTTGGATAAAAACAAGCTAAGGGAACTACCTGCTGAGATTGGTGACTTGAAGGAGCTGAGGAACCTGAGTGTGAGTAACAACCAGTTGGCAGATTTACCAACCAGTTTACAGAAGTTGAACAAGCTTCAAATGCTGTACTTGAGTGGTAACAAACTTGCACACTTACCTGGAGTAATAAGATGCATTCTGAAGTTAAAAAAACAAGGAACATTTGTAAAAACTGACATTGCAGGTGAGCAGAGGTATTGTTTCAATAATGATACTAAAATATGAAGCTCAATAGGTCCGGAGGAGGGAGGGTACTCAACCAATTTTTCCACGGGGAGGCCCCGCCCTGACGAAGGACCAGTCCCTTACCCTTTTTTATTTTTTTTCATGAAAAAGGTACCCCTTTCGTATATCTTCTATTGACAAATGGTGCCCCTTTCAAATACCTTGTTTAGAACTTTGCATCCCTTTTAACTGCTGCTGCACTGTCGTTTAAATAGGAATCAATCACAGAAATGGAATGTTTTCTTGACTTTTTGAAACCATTTAGCACTTTGAGCCCTTTCACAGACCCAAATGACAGATTTCACTCCCCTTTCGTATACTTCAATGAGTAAAATCCCTACCCTTTCATATACCTGAAGCCTGAAAAAGGTACCCCTTTTGGGCATAGCCTCTGTCCCCATATAGGCCATTGTAGGGAGTGAACCCCACCCCCACCCCCCTGGCACTAGGTTTATGTGCATTATTGAAGAACTCTAAGCTTCAATTTGAATTGTTGTCTTTAATAACTTTGTTAAAGGATAAAAGGATTGAAAGTTAACAATTATTAAAACTTCAATGACAGGTTCAAGGGTAAAATGTTAATGAACACTAGAATTATATATGTTGTAGTTAATTTTTTATCTCCCGTAATTTTTATTTTTTTTGTTTCAACTTCATTAGCATATATTACCATACCCCAAAACAAAAGAAAAACAAAAATTACCTGAAATAAAAAATTAACTACTACATATACAGTACAACTCCACTACATGCGTATGTACTTAGTTTGCTCATATCGTCACGAATGAACTTTGACTGATGAGTCAGGTTTGAGTCAGGCAAAGCATTACATTTTTCTTTTGGAATCACCTGAAGTTCTTGTTTTAAAATGCTTCTTCCCTTATGATTTTTACCTAGTCTGATATACAAATTTTAAGCCATGACAATTGAGCTATCTCCTGATGATGCAGATTGTGGAGATGTCAACCTCTGTGGAATTTAAAATGTGGAGTATATTGTCTCCTTTAATTAATTTGCAGTATCCCTCATTAATCAATCCCAACTAATAAGCACAGAAGAGAGCGACATTTGTTATGGCAATTGCAGATTTTCTAACAGTATAGTGTTGAAAAACTAAATAATTGTGGAATTTTTTGTTTGACACCCAAAATTAGTGTACAGCTGCAGTATGGCAATACTGTAATGTCACATGAATGGCAAAATGTTTTTCAAGCCATGACCTCTAAGGTCAGTCACATACTGTACCCACTGTGCCTTGCAGAGATTCAAGCAAGCTAAGGGGATTTTACTGATGATACATGTATCTAACATGTGCATAATGTGTGACTGCTAACATAATGATTGCAATGTTTTGGTGGACACAACCTTTAGGACAGTACATTGCATTCCTTTTAGTTCCTACAGAAATAGAGGCACGAGGAGAAAGAGCCCAGTTTGTTTATCAACGTGCTCTTAGAAATGGAGCGGTCAATGTTTATCGCGCTCGCGTGTTGCTTCTTGGTCAGGATCGAGCAGGGAAAACCAGTTTGAAAAATTGTCTCATTGGTCTACCATTCAATCCAAATGAACAAAGCACTGAAGGAATTGAAGTTGATCTTTCAATCTTTCAAGTGGGTGTGAATGAAGGTAAGAATTGGCAAGCCATTGATGAGAGCAAACAAGGGTTTTTGGGATGTTCCAAAGATGTGGCACAGATGGTGGTGGAAAATCTGTGTATTCCAGCCAGCCATGATTGGGTTGAAGAAGAGGAGGAACGTAAAGAAAAACGTGAACTTGAAAATGATGATTACAGGAAAGAAAAACAGCATGGTGATAGTGACGGCAAAAAGGACAGTCGTGGCTTATTTGTGAACCAGGTTTGCAAATCTACATTTAACTCCTCACATTTTATTAATAATACTAATATCACATCTCACTAACTTTATGAAGCAGGTTATAACCTTATGGTGTACTTGAGATGTAATACAGTAAACACCCGCGATCAAAAACCTAAGATAATAAATTGTTGATTACCAGCTGGAAAATAAGTAAACTTGGGTTTGGGCCTTAAAAATACAGTATTTATTCACAATTTTATTATTACTGTAACCCTAACAAGCTGATTACTGAATTTATATACAGTTTGGTACAGTATGTTCTTGTTATACTTAAATTTTTACAATCTCAAAGTTGCACTCCGTAGTTAACTTGTTGATCATAATAAATTTAACTGTAACCCACATATAAGAACCTGCTTGATAGTTGCTAGACTAAACAGGTTCTTGTATTTTTGGGTATTTAAGTGGCAAATTTTTGCCAGGAGGTTATTAATCCGCTAGGTTCATAATTATTCGCGGGTGTTTACTGTACTACACAGCCAATTTCTCAGTATCAGCATTGAGAAAAGGTGTTCCTACTGAAATGATGTGAGTTAATAACTTGCTTTCGTATAGCTAATTTAATGCATTGTCCTTTCAACAGGTAGTCTCTCATAACTTAGTATCTGATTTGTGACTGAAATCTCTGTAACATGCCAACTTAAATTCTCGGCCAGGCTCGGCGAAAAGAACGGCTGAGCCTAATTGATTCAGACGCTGAACTTTTCATGTACTTAATTCATTAGGTTCGGCTCACGAAAAGTTCGGCGTCTGAACCGGGCCTAAGGAACATGTGACTCTAGATACATATTTCTTCCAATTCACAAACTCAAACAGCTCTTGAAAGATAAAGCATGTCGGTACGATGCATTGCGGTTAGATGCAACAACACTGGTCACCCTAAGAAAGGGAAAAGCATGCGTAAAATCCTGTTTTCAATTGTCTGAGTTAGAGCGATTTTCGTATGACCTTGAAAAATGGTTTCGGTCAGTGTTCGCTATTTGTTTCATCAGCCAATGGATGAAAAGATCAAAACATACTCTTCGTTTTCCCGCCAAAGAAAAGCCTCATATGGAGAAGGCATTGTTCGATTAGCCAATCGTGTTGCAGTATGACGTCAAAGCGAAGTGTCGATTGATTTCTAGAAAGTTCTTCGGGCATTGACTTTTTTCAGCCGAGCGTTCCTTTAACCAACCAAAAGCCACGCGCGTTTGTATCCGTTCGCTAAACCAATCAAATCGCTCTATTTCCGTTCGTTTTTTGTTTCTGTTTTGTTCGCGCGTTTTCATTTCAAGGTCATACGAAAATCGCTCAAAACCTTAATTATGACGTCTCGTATGATCCTGTCAATTTCTTGGTCAGTGGAACAGGTGTGCCAATGAAATTTAGACTTAAATTTTTTAAAAAAAATCCCCTTTTGTTCTAAATGCAAATTATTTTCGAAGAAGGTCTTGTAGTAATGTCCTCTGTCAATTGAAATAATAACACTTTTTCAGTTTTATCACAAATTTTGTTTAGTTACCGCATTTATTAGATTAAACACCACCCTCAAATAAACGCCGCCCTCGATTAAACGTCGCAGATGGAAGCAAAACTACCAATAAATGCCACCCAGGAAAATTACAGTGTATTGTGAAACAACCTTAGCCATGATAAAGAGCAAGCAAGAGGTTTATTTTACTTTTATTTTGACCTTTACATGTACAAGTAGGATACCTTAGGCATATAAAGCAAACACAAAATATTTACAGGTATGTTGAATTGTAACCTGCTTGATATAAATTGAGCTGGTGCCATTCAATGAGCTGTCATCATTTAACCTGTTATTAATTCAGTTTCAGTGTTTTTGGTGTTTTAATAGTCATGCTTTCCAATTCCCCAATGTGCATGTCTAGATGTTTGAACTAAAAAAGGGTTCTTTTCTCATTTACTGATTGGGGTGAATTCTCTTTCAGAACTCACCATCAACAGCTAATTTCTGTTCTTTTTACCTGGCACTCTATTTCAGGTTGATGATTCAAAAACGGTTGGTTTTAGTGAGCTTACATCATCATTATCTGATCGAGAATTAATGGATGATTCTAATTCACCTCCAGATGAGATCACAGAGCAAGCTGTTGAGTTGATAAAGTATATGGAAGGTGGAAAAAGTGGTAGTGAAAAATCCGTTAGCAGTATTGAACTGTGGGATTTTGCTGGTCAGAAGCTCTATTACGCATCTCATCCTGTATTTTTAACATCACGTGCGATATATATCTTGGTGTGCAACCTCAGCAAGTCACTGCATGACATTGCCCAACCCTGCGTGAGACAAGGAAATCATAATTTTATGTTGGAAAACCCAACCGGGGAAACGAACCTGGAGAATCTACTATCTTGGTTGTCCACAGTGCATAGCATAACACAGATGAGAGGAGAAACTTGTGACGATGCAGGAGGAAAGCTGCCTCATCTGCGGCCCCCAGTGATCATTGTAGGCACCCATGCAGACAAACCATTTGAAGACATTGCAACAATGAAATCAGAAATACAGAGGGCAATTGCTGGTAAGGACTATGAAGGACATGTGGTGCGGCCTATCTTCAGCATTGACAACACTGCAAGATCACTTCAAAGAAAGATCAAAAAGGTTTTCAGGCAAGATAAAAACATTGATGACATGCAAGCTCTACAGGACAGAATCATGGAAGTGCTAAGACAAGAGCCATACATGGGGGAGAGTATACCTGTGAGGTGAGTCGTTATTGACCGACAACGATGGCTGAATATTGGCCAGGTTCTATTTTGTGTTTTTGAGACCGAGACGAAGTCGAGGTCAACAAAAAAGAACAAGGTCAATATTCTAGCTGCCGTCTTGACCGAACATGCTGAGGTAATAAAGGATTTATCATATGGCCAAAAGAGAAAACTTTATCTTGCGGGACCAATGCGGGAAGTCACGAGCAGGCAAGATTGTCTCATCTTGCTCGCTTGGGTACCAATCAGAACACAAGATTCGCTTCATCTTGCCTGCTCGCACATTTGGTCATATAATAAATATTAATATTAAATGACACTTCTAGTCTATTAAATTAGAATTTCTGTTTGAGGAATTTGGGATTGGAGGCCTTTGTTTCAGAGCCAATGGGTTAATTCTACATTCAATTGAAGTGTTTTTTTGTAGGGTTTTGAGACCGGTTCGAAACTGTTGGGTCACTTTTTAATCTCGAAATTTTGCTTTCTGCACATTCCCGAATTAAGAAGCTGATATTTTGCATCTGGAATAGAAGGCCGCAAAGCTCTCGACCTTTAAACAGTATTCTGGGTAGTTTTTGTTCTTTATAGTCAGAAAGTGACCAGAAAACGGCTCGACTAGCTTCAAAAGGCAGTTTCGGAGAAATTCCCAGTAGCAAAGGGCTCAAAGATGTTGGTGAAACTGCTCCTTTAATACAGAACTAACTATATGTGGTACTAAACAGCGACCTCTTGATGTAGGACTATCTTGACGCCGAGACAATGATGTGAGGTTTACCCTTCTGTTTTGGAATGTGTGCATGCTTTTGCACAACAAGAAGACGCCCGAGGGCGCTTACGCGGGATGTGTGGGTTTAAGAAAGAATTACGGGTATGTTGGATGGAAATGTAAGTTGAGTAGTGTATGCAACAAATGTGTGCAGGAGAGACGGAGATGTTCTGTTAAGGACTAATACACTAGAAGATGAGTTACACACAAGGGTTCCTTTGCTACTCAAAACAAAACTTACATCAATATTACCACCATATGTTAGGAGTATGGGGTAGTTCACTAAAATTTGCATCCCTTTACTAATGTCCTCAAAACATGCACTTCCCCATTTAACAATAGCATGTAATGTATCATACTTCCAATAACTACAGGGCTGCAAGGAAGTGCTCTAGGGAAAATTTCAGAGACCCTTTTGGGCTCCCCAAGCATTTTTAGCTGGGGTGCCCGGGCCTCTAAGTTGGTCGCCCAAATTAATAAATCAGTGAGCTGTTACTTAATTATGAAAAATTAAACAAATTATTTTCTTAACAAGTCAAGCAGAATTTTGTGAATATTTTTTTCATGAAAAATCACATCCCTTGGACCTCCTGAACGTGCGAAAAAAAAAAAAAAACCCGCATGTTGTCATATGAAAGTAAGTTTTCGCGTCATATGAGAAACATGGACAACGCCGCCGAACATTTCATGTTTTTTAAATGAAAAGTAAATTTGGGGTCAAAAATAAGGGCACTATTCTTTTTACTAATCATTTTGATTTAGGTTGAAAAGAAAATTCGCTTATTAAGAATGACTGAGATCCCGTGGAGCTTTCCAGGAAAACTGTTATGAATTCAACGAAACCGCGGCGCCCTCCGGGGGGTTACTTGCGTTAATTTTTGCTGGGTATGTGCCGCTGCTCAGAGCCCCTACCCCATTATAGTCTTTTCTGTGGCCAATTGTAGACCCCATATTAGTCACTCTTGGGGAAATATGTCATTTTTGCGATCCCAACTTAGTCACTTTCTATTTATGTACCTTATCAATCCTTTAAATAGGTCATCAAAAAATGAATTGACCCATTTTATAATAAATTGAATGAAGAACACTTTACTTTTCACCTACAGGACAAATATCCTGATAGGTTTGCTAACCGTAAATATGAACAGCTCTCTTACCCCAAAAATCCGAAAATGTGCGACCCCATTCTAGTAACTCTTTTGAAAATGCAACCCCATTAATAGTCAATCTAGTCGTGAAAATGCTACCCCATCCAGCGGCACATCCCCATTAGCCTCTTTATAAGGAAGTTCTCCCCCCCGCCCCCCCACCGGGGGCCGCCCCAAAACTATTATCTCTTTTGAATAGATCATCTTGTTGTAAAGTCGTCGTTTAAGCGCAAAACGGAAGTATTTTCTTTCTATATTACCGGTGAAAAGTTCAGGACAAATGTAGATTCGGTTAGCTTTTGCGTATTTATTTTTAGTACGCGATACGTAATGCCTTGTCACGACACGAAAGACAATGCGGGATTTATACCCGATTCTAGAACAATCACAATTATAATAATAGTCGTCTCTTTTCTTTTTTATGCATCGTATTTTACTCGAATAACAATCTTAGTTATGTTTTATCCTCGCAGACACAGCAGTAAAAAAAGGTAAAAATATTTAAAGAACATAAAAGACCGACTCCCTTATTTATTCAGCGATTTTTCAAAATACAAAACTATTGTTTTGCGTCGCCGACCGTACTTAACGCCTGTCAGAGCAAAAGTAACAACTTGTTTTGAAAAACTAACTAATGAACAATCCTAATTTGAAGAAAAAATTTCGATGTCACTATGAAAAGCTGTTACAATCGAAAACTGTGCAGCTTGTCACGTTCATAGTGAAGGATTATGTTACATGTGAATTTACGTGAAACGACCTTTGAACATCAACGCGTGCCCACTGCCCTATTTAACAACATTTTCCTGAAGCTTTTTGATAGACATGCTACGTATTGCTACTTACAGAGTCGACCTCAAGAGTTTCTTAGCGACAGGAGCGTTCCTTTTAGGCCGCGAAGCCACCGAGAGAGCTACGATTTCGCAAGTAATAAATTCTAGACATTCTTAGCTTTTTGACTGTAACTCATCAACAGAAACAAGAAACCAACACCAGCAAGTCGCCCGGCTGGGCCACCTAGACAGTATTTTCAGTCGCCCGAGGCCAAGTCTTGCGCCTTATTAAGAGCACGGCCTTGAGTCTTCGTTCTCCTCTACACAGTGAGCTTACTTTTCCCTCCTTTGCTGACGCAGTATCTTTTATCCGCTTGTGCAATCCAGCCTGACTTGCACGTGCTTCGACGTTGCGGCCATTAAAAATCCACACAATTTTTCGGGACGGGCACGGGATACGGGAAAGTTAAAAAAACAAGGCAATTTTTGACTTCCAAGACGACGAAAGGAATGCGCTACCGAATTTTAGACGCTGGCTGACTACGTCATCCCGCGTAATAATATTCGTTAAAGCAGGTGCTTTTCTCAGTGACATGAATACTATTACGTGCTTTTCTTTTTTATAAACTAGGTGGCTCAGCTTTGAGAAGGTCATCGATGCTTTGCTATCCAAGGACGTTTATCATTTAAATACAACGGAACTTCAAACCTATACCAAAGATAAGTGCTTTATTAATGACGAGGAAGAGTTCACCACCATGGTGAATTTTTATCATGACATGGGGATAATTATCAAACACTGTAGCATAGTCATTCTGAGTGCCAAGTGGCTGATAGACCTGTTCAGGCAGCTCATCACTATTCCACATTTTAATGAAATGGTAAGAAAAACGTGTATGAAATAAACGCCAATCAAATACCAGGTGAGCTTTCACGAGAAAGCGTGGTATCTTCACTCGGGAAAATAAAATGTTATGTTCACATGTGAAAAGATTACTGTTGCTATGGCTACATAGTAAATTGCGCCTTCCGCAGCATAAAACAATATATAGGTAAAATGGCTTGTTATTTCATTGGTATTTATGAAATAAATAACACATTACATGGCTGCTGGGAGGTGGGAAATTTGTCTTCGAGTGTTAAAAAATATTTCACGACTGAGCGCAGCGAATGAGTGGAATATTTGTCAACACTTGAAGACAAATTTCGCATTTCCGTGCGGCTATGCAATGTCCTCTATTTATTCAGGACTATTAGTTTTAAACTGATGCAAGGCTTTCTCTACGGGAGAGATCGATCAAGGGGCAAAGTGTTCTTACTCCAACACTGTGCTTTGCGCAAGTTTCTCGTGATAGGTCAAAACGCGCGTGATCAGATTTCAAGTAACAGAAGGTCCAAACGTGCACGATCAGATTGCACTCTATGCAGTCCATTCATTCGTAGTGGAAGTCCTAACGAATGCTGGCTACCTACGTGCCGCGCATGCATAATAGCAACCTGGCGATTAGCACTGCGGCCTCCTCTGGTCGTCCGTAATTAGCTCGTGGCTTCCCGGATTCTTTTTTAAACACTCTGTAATCACTCCTCAATTTATTATCTCTCAGGACCCAAAGGTTTCCAAGCACTGGGAGAAACTGAGAGAAAGCGGTGTCCTCAGCATGGAACTCGTTGAGCATGTGTTTTCCAAATTTCTTCTGAAAGACTTTGTCAGAGATGACATTCTAGACCTGATGGAGCAGTTCGGTTTGATTGCAAAGTTCTCACCTCCTAAAACTGATGAAAAGTATTTTGTACCGTCGCAACTCAAAGTGCCACCTGATTCCCTTTGTGCCATGGTACCCTCACGCTCAGACCCCTGTCCTCTATATGTCTTCTTTGTTGCTGGATTTGTGCCCCATGGCTTGTTCACAAGGCTCGTCTCCCGACTCATCCGTTGGTGTTCTGAAGCTGGTCCAACTCAACCCCCTACTCTGTACCGAAATGGAGCATGGTTCGTCTTTGGGAGACGAACTGTCCATGATTTAGTTCTTTTCTGCAAGAAACAGTACATCAAGTTTTTTGTCATGCAAAGATCCCAAGATCAGCAGGTGTCAGGGAATAAAGGAAGTGAGGTTGCAATTCAGGTGCGTGAGTTTGTGGAGGCAACACTACAATCTTTGTCACAGGATCTGCTGTATCTACGTGGACTTCAGTACCAGATTTGCGTCGCCTGTCCATATTGTCCGCTGGAAAAGTGTACAGGTCATAATCAGCTGGCATGTTCACATGTTGACTGTCGTCATCTCCTTGAGATAAGACTAGGTGACCCACTGATTTGCAAAAAGAGGCCTTCAAACAAAGTACTAACAGTTGAGGGACTGGAAAAATGGTTCTTACAATCATTAAGTCAGGTACTAATGAAGGACAATCTCTAGCAACACTGGTAGCATAAAATTAATTGAAGGGAAATATAACCTCGAAGGGTAATTATGTTAAAATTAAGTCACCATATGATGAGGCTTTAATCACTATCTGAAAAGACTGAACGTAGTCTTTTTAGGGATGATGTCTGGTGTAATGTGACTTATTTATTCTTCGACACGGCTCTCACTAGTGGAAGAGAAAATGATGGAAAAGAGGGAGTTATTACATAAATTTAAGTTGTGGTCAATAAGCATTGTCAATTTAGCATGAACGGATACTATCACTTACGTTGATAACAGCAAAGTTGACTTTCCAAGCTCTTCATCAGTTTGCTTTTGTGAAGGGCTAGCATTGAAACATCAGTCATTAGCCTATTGATCTTATCAACTCTATTGTTAAATGTGTGATGTAATGCCCATGTGCATAGCAAAGTGCACGGCATACGTTATCTTTTGTATGTATTGCATTGATGTTCCAATCTTGGAGCAACATTGCCTTATAGGGCGTATAGTTTTAACATGTGTGACCTTGCCAAACACGATTGTATCTACTGGCCTGAAGGTCTTATAGCGATGTGCGCCTTTTTTTTTCACTCGTCATGCTTTTGTTTTGCTACTTAAGTTGACCTCATCTTTAATTTGATGGAATCAGGTTTTATTCAAAGGCTTTCTAGACGGCACCCTATATAAAAGTGCTATTTTGAAATATGCAATGTTGGTTTTCTTTCAGGAATTGCATTCTGGTATAACACAACGTCATGCACAGCCTTCAGTCTTAAAAGTTTCCCTCCTGGCTAATGAGTGGGGGTCATCTAAGGGTGGCTTGTCAACATTGAACAGAACGCTTGCCATACATTTGGCAAAACACCCAAACGTAGAAGTCACTATCATTGTACCTCAATTTGAGTGCGGTGAAGATGACAAGAGAGCTGCCAAGGGTCACAACATTTCCATCATGGAAGCACATCGCCGCCCTGGCTTTAGTGATCCTCTTGATTGGTTGAGCTTTCCACCAAGAAACCTTGACATTCAGGTCGTGATTGGTCATGGTGCAAAGCTTGGTAAACAAGCTCAAATCATCCAAGAGTCTCATTGTTGCAAGTGGGTGCAGGTAGTGCACACCGAACCTGAAGAGCTAGCAATGTATAAGAACTATCCTGGCGCAATTACCAAGGGAGAAGGAAAGAACAGAGCTGAAGTTGAGCTGTGCCAACTTGCAGATCTCGTTGTGGCAGTTGGGCCCAAGTTGACAGAAGCATTCTCGTCCTACTTGCGTTCATCTGATCAAGATGTCTTCCAGCTGATGCCAGGCACCTTTAAAGAGTTTTCAGATGTTGAGCATGCTACTACGCGAGCGAGTGCGAAGTTCAAGGTGTTAACCTTTGGCCGTGGTGATTTTGAAGACTTCAGTCTCAAAGGATACGACATTGCCGCTCAAGCAATAGCTGAAATGAAGGACAGTTCCTACCGTCTGATCTTTGTTGGTGCACCTGATGGAAAGCAGGATGAAGTCGCAGAAATCTTATGCCAGACGGGCATTCCAAGAATCCAGTTGTTTGTCCGATCATTCTTGAAAGACAAGCAAAGATTAAAAGAGTTGTTTTGTGAAGTTGATGTGGCCATCATGCCTTCAAGAACTGAGGGTTTTGGCTTGACAGCACTGGAAGCCATGTCAGCCGGTCTTCCCATTCTGGTCAGTGGAAACTCCGGATTTGGAGAAGCACTGCGTTGTCTTCCAATGGGCGAGTCATTTGTGATTGATTCGGATGACCCCAAGGAATGGGCAAAGGCAATAGCAGCTATCCAACAAAAATCTAGGGCACAGCGGCTTGAGGAAATCCAAGGACTACGAAGAAGTTATGAAGAGAGATTCAGTTGGGAGAGACAGTGCAAATCCCTTGTTGACGCGATGTGGAAGATGGTTTATGGTAAGAAATCAAATTCTTACCTAAAGTAAAGTAACGATAATTTAAATGAGCAATTTTAGGATGAGGTTGAGTATGATCTGAAAAATTTTGTAGATCGTGGAGGATGCTGGCCGATGCGGATAACACCCTACGAGATCTGCATAATTTTGCACATCATTTGAAAATAGTTCAAAAATAGTTCATACTTGAAAAACATGCCTACCTCGATCGATGTTAAGTTTCTGTCTTCAACTTTTTTCCAGGGCCTCTCAGTTGCCGTCCCCTTTTCTGGCGATATCCTATACTATTGACGTCGTTTTACTGGATATCGCAAACGTCTTCCAAATTTGATCATCGCTAGCTGGTTTTAAAGAAATAGCCGTGGGATTTGAGTCATTCTGATTACGTTCTGTTGAAACCACCGTAATTTAAAATTGTCAGTTGGTTTTTCTTTGGACCCGTGTTCTATCTCCCATAGAACGTTTTCACTCACGTGGCGTTTTACATGACCTCATGTGAAAACGCTATATTAAACTGACGTGAAATAACCTTTCGCATTTTGGATTTTTCCTCTTTATCATTTGCAGGTGAACTGGTTTTCCTTGCACTTCAAAAAATCAAGCTGGAAGCGCGTAGAGAGGCCAGCAAAACTGAGCTGTCGTTGAATTTAAAGAGGATTGCTTTGGAGAAAGGTTTTGTGATTTCTGACAATCAAGGGGATGGAAACTGCATGTTTTTTGCACTGTCAGAACAGCTTGAGCACACCAAAGGAATTAAAATCTCCCATGATGAGTTACGCCGAACTGTTGTCCAGTACCTCAAGGACAACCCCAGGCTGGTTAGTGTCCTGTTTTAGTGCCTCAAAATTATTTATCTCAGACTAGCAACTTAAACTGACCGAAGCGGAGAAGGGTCCAAGCATAAATGAAAACAGACGCGGGAACATTTCCTTTTTTCGCCTCGGCCGTTAAGCTTCTTTTGCTTACGTTTAAAGAAACAGACCTGTGACTTGACTGAAATTGAACTTTTCCACCACGGTGGCTTTTTTCCTGCTCACTTCTCTTTTGCGTCATCCACATTATCTGAACGCTTGAAGAGAATAATGGACATATAGAGTTAGTCCTCATCGTTCTTTATTTATTTTTTTTGAAACTTGATAAGGTGGACACCTCTCTTAGAGTACGACTACTAACGGTGTCTGTGGCCCAGGGGACTACTCCCTATTATGCCTATACGGGGAGGCTCCGCACAGAAGGGGTACCTTTTCCAGGCTTCAGGTATATGAAAGGGTAGGGACTTCTTTAGTTTCAGTGTAGAAAGGGGGTAGGGAAATCTGTCATTTCGGTCTGTAAAAGGTATAAAAAGGGCCAACAGACGCATTTTATGGATGTAAAAGAAACAAGAAAACTTCCTGGTTTAGTGATTTATTCATAAAAAAAGACGCTGCATTTACAGCAGTTAAAGGGGATGCAAAGTTCTAAAAAAAAGATGTGTATGTGAAAGGGGTACCATTTGTCAAAAGAAAGTATACGAAAGGGGTACCTTTTCTGTCAACTATTGCACGTATATTACAACCTTACAATATACGTGTTGCACACAAACCGATAACCACTAATGTCAAGGACAAAGGCAAACCGGAGGACAGACAGGGAGTAGTATGCAAGATCAAAGGCTTCTTACATTGGTGAAACCTGAAGAAACCTTAGCACGCCACTGACCTAACACAAACGAGCGACGAGGAATGATGACGTCAACAATGACATTGCTAAGCACTATTAGGACTATTTAGGACTCTACGACATGTATAATACTATCAAATTCTTACTTTAGAGAGCTGGTGTACTAACTTAGAACAAACGCCACTGAATCGTAGCCAACAGTTTACCAGCGCCGTACAAACGACTTATTGACGACTGTGACAATAGACGGATCAAAACGCACTAATTACTGATTACGAGTCTTCACAGCCAATAACATCACGGCTTAACTGAACAACATCGCGACGTAATTGACCAATGAGATCAATAACCAGAGTATAATGCCATCAACTGACGCGATAAACTCATTTTGACCACCGCACAGGTTGTCGAAACGTCAGTCACTGTAAAAAACAACAGTCCTATTCAGGACTACGTTCACCTCGACGATCAAACTCAACCTACTTTTGAAATGACTCCTGGGTTCAAACCTTTCACAGTTTTCACAATGGTATATAAAAGGGTAAGGGGTTGGACCTCAGGGCGGACGGAGCCTCCCCATATAAAATTGTTGAGTACCCCCCCCCCCTCTTCGGGGGGTCTGCGGTGGAGAGAGCTGACTGCGTAGTTTCCTGAATAAGAACCGTCTAGAAATACACTTTGTCTTTTTTCTAGTAACTACAGCATTTTTTCTATTACAGCCGGATGGGACAGATCTCTTCCACTTTGTTGACGGATTTTCATCTTGGAACGCTTACCTCACAAGCATGATGGCAGATGGTACATGGGGTGATCACGTGATTCTGCATGGTGCGGCAAACTGCTTTGGAAGATGCATTCACGTGATAAGCAGTCTGCCGCATCACCATGACGTAATGATTTGCCCAGAGTATGATTTTACTGGTAACAATCGGCTTGTGCTGGGTCTTGTTCATGAGCTTCACTATGTCAGTCTTTTTCCACTTGAAGGATGCTAAGATGGCTAATTACTCTGCAATGTATTTATTTTCCAAACTCGCGTTACCAAATTCATGTTATTTGAATTTTAGCAGTTGCACCTTTCATTTGCCACCTTATTTGCTGTGTTGTTGGCGAGAAACGTCTTTGTCCATTTATACTGAACGCTTCCGTTTAGTCAAATGTTTGCAATTCATCAATGTTGTGACGGAATAAATAGACGTTGAAATATGATTATTATTCATTCAAAATATTTCCCCGATTCTGATTGGCTACAAACACACGTTTAATTCACCATAACCAGTTACTGATGACCAAATTTAGAAGAATTTTGTGTTTAGCGAGGAAATGACGTCAAAAATGCAGGGTTCTTGCAGGTTATCTTGCAGGTTAATGCACCGTTAACCGAGAAGACCTGGGGACGAGGTTGAGTTGTTTTGGTTGTGAACTTGAAAAATGGCGGACATTTCACTCGTTTCAAGAGTAAGAACTAGGCGAAAAAATAGCTAAAAACATGGCAAGAACAGCAAGAAGACAACTCGAAGGGCGACATCTGCTATTTGGAGAATATTTGCGGAGCTGAACAACCCTAAACGTGCACTATCGAAGATGAACTTAACATCGATGGATCGATGGAGGTAAGCATGTTTCAGCCATGTTGTTAAACTAGGAATTATTTTGAGTGAATAATAAAACAATTATTGAATTCGGCTTTCGTATCATATGAAGAATTATGGAGATCTCGAAGGGTGGCCGAGGCGAATAACTCCCTCAGAGATCTTCATAATTCTTCATAAGATACTCAGCCTCATTCATTAATTGTTAATTAATTCGTAGGGGAAACAGTCCCCTTAGGTAATATGAATATCTACTTATTTATTTTATTCCCTCTATTCTTTTCTAATAGGATTTAGTTGTTAAAGATCACATTGCCTTCAGTCGCCCTTAGTATTAGGGAGCTTATGTACGACGACGGCGACGGCAACGAGAACGGCAAATAAGCAATAGGTTTAGATAAGCGAAACAACAACTTTGCACGTGCATCACGCTTTTTTGCACATTTCCTTGCCGTTGTTGCACGACTACGACGTGAAAATGCCCAATTTCACGTTTTATGGAGGACGTGAACACAAGACAACAATTTTTTTCCTGTCACACCCAAAACATTTTGTTTAAATTAATTTTTTGTGTTAAGGAGAAATGGCCAGATGCCTCCTGCATTACTAGATTTGTCGCTAGACACAGACCTGTCATCAAGAGATGAAGACCGGAGATTTTCCCTGGCTACCATGAACGTGACCTCCGGCTTCTTTCATAGGAAACAGAAATAAAATACAACCAAAAGAAATTCCTAGCAGTTTGATTCCCCGCCTACTCTTAATGTATTTGCCCGGTAACTTGAAATCTTAATGACATCCCTGCTAGATAGTATGGGAGAAATTATTATTAATACAATCTTATTTTTGATAATATTTGTAAGGAGAGAACATGATAAGCCTAAAAGTTCATTTAAGGTAGAGAACGAGGTATGAAATGTGAGGTGTGGGGGCGGGGGGGGTTAAATTTTGTGTGTGTGCTGGCTCGCTTTGCAGAGATCCTGGTACATAGGTTAAGCACAACAAAATCAACTTTGCGATTATATGACAACCGAGCCAGCCCAGCTAGCTGGGATCGCGAGTGGAGATTTTGCATGTAATCATCACGCTAGCCATTGCTTCCCCGGCTCATGTGACCAGGCCCTTACCGTGATTTCTATTTGGAATTTGCTGCTTTCGTGGTTCCTGTATGAGAGAATACGACTTAATCTAATTAACCCAAGGGTTTTAAAATAGAAGGCGGTTTGCACGTGAAGATGTTGGACTCTGCCTCTTTTATGGTTCGACCGTGAAGGAATGACGAGGTCATTTTGCTCAATCACCCCGCGCGCGATTTTAAGAAATCACCTCCTTTCCGAAAATATATGTAATGAAATTATGCATCATTCACTGTTACCATCTCGTGCACTGGAATTTTGCGTGACATCTTCTTTGGCGCTCGACAACTGAGGGCCTGTTTACATGGAGGTGGGGGACCCCAGGTAGGTGACGTAACCCGCTTAGGTGGGGTAACCCACCTGTCCATATAATCTGTCATTTTAATTTGATCACGTTTACATCAGAGTACATGATAGGTGGGTTGACCCGCCAAATGTTACCGCACCTACCTGTGGTCCCTCACCTCCATGTAAACAGGCCCTGAGAGCAAAAATATTGTCAAAGTTTTGACAATAAGCCAAACCATTTACACCCTGTGCTGCGAGGACGGATATTTTCCAAAGGGAAAACTTAAATTATTCCTCGCGCCAAGCGAAGTGAGATTATAATCTCGTCGCGCGCGCGCGTTTTGCTCGCATGTGAGTTTATACTGGTTTATACTGTATCGGCTTAGTTGGGCATCTGTTCTATAAATGCGATTGTAAATTGTAAATTGCTTTTTATCCACCGTCAAACAGCAGTCATTTTTCTGAAAATTATCTCTGAATTCGTGTTTAATAGTGTTCGATCAACTCTATATAGGGCTCTTTAGCAAAAGACAAAAAATTCGTCCTTTCCTAGTTAAATTGACTCTTTGTTGAGCTACACACCTTTTCTTTTCTTTTCTTTTTTCTCTTCTTTCTTTTTTTTCTTTAAAAAATGAATCCAAATTTTCATTTAGTACCCTTAACTTGTATGGCTTACCCTACAGTTCCAGGAAGCCTATAGTTTAAAATCCCCCGGCTTCTATATAGGCTTCCTTGCCTTTACCACATTTAATCTTGTAAATAACTTAGTTGGAATATTGTATATTATCTTTAATGTATTTCTGTATACTGTTGTTGTATTTCTGGTTAATGGCAAAATAAAATGAATGAATGAATTCTAGGGAAAAGGCTTTTAATAAAATATTATCAAAAATTTCGGAATGTGTTTCACGTGGCGCAGTAACAACGAAACGGCCTGGTGTGCGGAAGGTCCTGAGTTCGATTCCGGGTA